TTGTAAGTTGCTATTATGTAGGACTGTGTACTTCCTCGTGGATAGATTTCAAAACATTGCAAGCATAAGTGAATAAGACATGTTAAGCAAAAGAATTTGATAGTAGAGGAAATATTGTAATTGTTATTTGAAGTATAAAGGTGGTGAATGGGTGGATCCAGGGACGGGGCATAATCCCCACTCCATTTAGTTAAAATGATCCATGAAAATTTGGCCAAGGTCAGATGATCCTGGTCGGCAGACATATACACCTTTCAATTATTACATACACCAAATGCATTACAGTATCTGCAAAACAGGCATAGCGACGAAAACTTAACGCGACCAATGAACCATGAACATATCGTTAAGGCCAGACAAACCTTGCCAGGCAGACATGTATACCTTACAATTATTCCACACGATGTATATTGTTAACTATTGGTTTTCAACACGCACTTTTCTTGTTTACCTGTATACATTGATCATATGGTTTACAATATGAAAAATATTTAAGACTTGGTACTAATGATTTTTTAAATATAGTATTTTAACGAAGACACGGATTTCTAAAAACCAGTGCAATCAACCAGATAAACAGGACTTTTAAATTTTATAAATGTTTTCAGATCAGATTTCAAGGTAAACTGGTTTACATAAGTAACAATAAAGAATGTAATCAATGTCACAGTTTATTCGTTCTATAGGTAATATTTGGATGTCTGTCAAGTATTCCTAAGTTTTAAAAATCCTAAAATCCTATAATGATACTTAATTAAACTCGAACCATGAAATTAGAAATTTTCTTTGTTTATAACAAATTTTCTTTTTATTTGTGCGCGTGTCTAATTGTCACACTTCTAATAAGCGATATACCAACTATGTCAATTTTACCTTCTAGACAAATGTATATCTTATTTGTTGTTGTTTGTATTAAAAGCAACCACTGGCAGCATTTTCGAACTCATTTCTGGAAAAAAAGTACCTTGAAACCATAAATCGTTTTAAATCAGCATACGAAAACCTACCATTTGAGACCAGAAGTGACCTCCTGTTAACCGGGATTAGGAAATTATCTCAATTATTCTATAAAAAAGACAAAGAAACCATACATTTTGGAATCAGTGTTAATAAAGCTTTTATCTGAATCCAGAAGCGATATTTTCTAAACCGGAAGTAAGAAATCATTTCCCTTATTTAAGGCAAAACTATAAAAAAAAACATATATTTTTGGAATAAAAAAACTCTATGATTTGACGCCGAAAGTAGCAGTGAATAATCCAGATGTGGCGTCTTTTTAATGAATGAAAATTAAATTGTGTAAAGACCGTCTATTATTCTCTGAACATTGGTTTTGATTTTGTTTATTTTTTTTCTTCCGCCGCTGTTTTTACTAGAACAATTGGTCTTTATCTTTTTTTATTCCTCCGCCACATTCTTTACTCTTGCTTTATTGTGGTTTCGCAAGGTGTCTCTTGTTATTTTGAATATTATATCGAACAGTCATTACGATTTTAAAACTCGCCCTGATCAACTAAACACTTTTCTGTATGGGAGTTATCTCCCAGTCAACTGTTTTTTCTTGCTATCACTTTTCATCAGACACCGTTAAAGATATCGCTTTTTTTCTCCAAAATATTCGTTACTTTCTAAGGATGATATGGTCAACTGGATCGAAGCGAAACTATTTGATGTAATAAGAGTTATTCAATTTTTCCGAGTTTATGTCGGTGTGACTCATTAACCGTATGAGGTCATTGGGCCGTACGCAGAAAATAAAGTTCCAGGTCAAAGATCAAGGTAACTGCTTGTTATCACAACTCATCAGAAACATGCAAAATTAAGGACATAATGTGTTTGTCAAATTGTAAGTTGACGCTAAATTTTAAGTCAAAGTGCTCTAGTGACTCAATGGGAGTTTTTCCCCCTTAAATATTAAAAAAAAACTGCTTGGTAGGATAAATTCTTGATCATACATATTAGAGAGATTCGGGATATTGATCTTTGACCGTGAAATTGAGGTTGATGTCAAGGGTAAACTTTACGTTCTAGATCTTGACCTTTTTGTCATGTAGCTCTACAACTGTTCCGGTTTTTATACATCATTAGCTTTCAAAGTTTCGGCTTTGAGCGTTCCTGGTTTAATATGATTTGTATACGAATGGAAGACTTATGACCTTGAAAAATGCATTTGACATCGTTTTTTAACGAAGGCTGAAACTACTATAACACATATAACATAATAACATGTGATATTGTAGTCTCAGACGAAGGTTATGTTTCCTTCTTAAACAAATTGATTTTAAATATTTGTATACAAGTTCATTAAAACCTTAATTATCAATATGGAAGGTGGAAACACCTCCGATTAGGGAACAATTGGTTTTTAATTAAATTCCATTTTTTTTCTTCACTGAATAAAACTGTATAACCGTTCACCTGGAAATATAATCTGAATAAAATAGTAAAATTCAAAAGTCCTGTTTATGTGGCTGATTGCACTGATTTTCAAAAAAAATTGTCGTTCTTTAAATGCTGTCATAAGTCATAAATGCTTAGTATTGGATGTTTACATGTTGTGAATCAAATACTTAGTAAAAAAACGTAAACAAGAAAAGAGTATATTAAAAACTTCACTTTAAAAGTGTTCCCTGGAAAGTATATTCAATTATATCCCTTTATTTATTTTGATTATTAATTTCAGCTCTTAAATGATAATTATCCGCTTTAAATAAGAAAAGAACCCCTTCATGCAAAGTTTACCTTTTTTGACTGTTCTGTTTAGAGAATGACTCTTTTTTCCAAACGTTTGGTCACGGAAGTTCGGCAATACTACAAGCAAGGTTAACCAGATTTATTATATCCAAGTGAACTTGAGCTTAATGGTACTACCGAAACAAGAAGGTCTGCTTCATCTTGATCTTTCCCTCGATATGGACACAGATGAGCGACTATAAAGTAGAATCTATGACAAACGTGATACTTCCGACTTATCAATTGTAAACTTCCCATTTCTCAGGAGTAACAAACCCGTTTACATATCTCAATTTACACATTGTTGCTCGTGCATTTTTACACTAAACTTCTTAAACAGGGATGTGCTCTTCACACAAATACTTCTCCAACAAAGTTATGAGGAAGATATACTGAAATCGAAAAAACAAAAATTAGCGGTCACTACCACGAAATAATTGCTTCACAGATACGAAGTGTATATGTCTCATTTCAGTACCGACTTGTTTTGGCGGCCCAAGGATACCAGAAAGTCGTATAATCTGATATTTGACCGATTGTGTCGTATTCCTGATTCACATCGCGGGGTGTGCGTGCAAAGCAGGCAACGCTTACCCTATCGAAGAATCCTGTCTCGCTCCTTTTGGAGTGCATGCGTTCTCTCAGTTTCCTTTATTTGTATCTCCTTAATCAATTTATGAGTTTTGACCATCGGTTAACTACTTCAGCCTACTTTCATTGAAACGAACAGTTTAACTTTACAATGGCACTAGAGAGCTTTAGGGTTGATAGAAGAAAGCAAGATGAATTTGGAATCACAGGATGTAATTATAGTAAAAGCCTTAATATTGGGAAAAGATTTGTATCTTTGTTACAGGATTTGTTTTTATCTCTATCGATTTATGAGTTTCGAACAGCGGTATACTACTGTTGCCTTTATTTACAGTGAACATGTTACGTCAGCCACACAAATTAAACAGAACATGATTGCATTATTTTGTTTAGCCATTTTATCTATCAATATCCATTCTTTTTTCGAATTTGTCAATTTCTACTGCCCTACAAGGCATCATATATGATACCTGTCTGTAGTTGAAGAATGTATAGTGACCACATGTTTTTTCTTCATTCATATAACACATAGCGATCAGAAAAAACTTTAGTGCTTTCCAAATAAATGTAAGAGTAGAATATACTTTTTTTATTTTTCTATTCTATAATTAGGTTCAAGTCACTGAAATGTAATGATTAGTAACCCAATACAAGTTCTTATAAGTTTCATATGCTAAAATACAAAAAGTGTACCCTATAAACGAATCTCACAAAAAGCTGATATCGCTTTCCGAAGTCATAGTAAGCAAAAACGTTGATGCTTGAAGACATCAATGGAATTTCATATATGATAAAAGCCTTTTAAGAACTGAAAAATACACACCGCGAAAATTTTGTGTTTATTAAGGAGTATATCAGTTAAAACTTTGTCATTACCTTCTTCAAATATCTGGTAGTCATGTTGGTTAAACGGAATAACTTTGAAGCATTTTGGAGATTTTCACACAATGACGTAATTATGCTGTGATTTTTTATGAGTTATATAGCTGTTTTCAGCCTTTTATTGATGAGAATAATTCTTTTTTAAAATACATTTATTTTTGAAATATCTATGAATATGACAATGTTCACACATTTCATAAATAAAATCCGTTTAGTGATGACGATTGAGATTAATTATTTCTCCCTTAATTGTGATTTTTCCCGTAATTTTTAGTAAAACTGTTGATTCTGACCTTGAAAAGAATGCTCCAGATATCAACGTTATGATGGAAGTATTGTATCAATTAACAAATAAAGCTGTTCTTACATTCATTTTGTTTTAACGGTTTTTATCATCTCAATAGCACCATTATCTTGATAGTAGTAAATAAGACCTTAAACAGGTTTTTTTTAAATCCATAGAATAATAAAGATCTTGAACAAAAAGACAAGACAGTTCTGGTTTATCAGTTTCTCTGAATAAAATACCGCAAATAGAAAATTTTGAAACGGATACCGTTTAAACATTTATTGTGTAACAGGTTCATTTATCCCTTGCAATATGAGGCCTATTTAAATGTAAATTGCGTTCAACCTAATAATTCCAAAACAAATCAACAGATTGCAATGAACAGGCCGTTTGCATTAACCGTATTGTCTCTTCTTGCAAAGTCACATGACTTTTATTTGGTGTCATTTGTGTTTTTCTCCGCCCTTTTGTGATGGTAACGGTATATATTTTGGAACATCGTGAATCGTGTCTTAGTTTTACATACCATGTTATATATGTTGCACAATAAAGTTGACACGATACTAAATGATGTATTCACTTTTTGTTCTGAATAAGACAAAAACTTGAACATGACGTATTAAAATGCTATTCCAACTGTTGTTTATATGTGGATCAGTTTTCCTTGTTAAAGGTAAGTAACAGTTGTAATAATTTGTGAAGAACTAGAGGTCCTTAAGAGCCTGCATAGCTCACCTGGTAAGATATACCATTTTGATATTCATGTTTACCTTTATTGCAACCAAACATGTTTGCATATTAACAAATCTGTTTTATTGATATTTATAGTAGATCTTGGTTTGATGATCTTTTTTATGTTTACAAGTTACACCTATCTATTAGTATAAGAAATAATTGACCAAATTATCAAATCGAGTAAAACAATCGTCATTTAAAAGCAATAAATCCTTTAAGGAGTTGGACAACTTGGCCCTATTGACTTACTTGTAGATCTTATTTTGCTGATGTAATAAGTGCAGTACTAAATTGCTGACAGTTACTGAAGAAATGTGACTGTGATTATTGTCCGTCTATTTCAAACTTTATAATCTGTTTGTCCTTTTATACAAAACTAACTTTATAATTCATTTATCATTGTCTTAAGACTAAATATTCAAGCAATTATATTTCTTATCTTTATTCTCTGGTGTTCTTTTGTATTTTGTTCGTTTCTGGCTAACTATGTAATTTTGCATGTATAAGATAATGGTAATAAGATCTGAAATAAGGATGGTTAAGAATCGGACAAGGTACAATGTAAGGTAACGATATCAAGTATATGTTTACTGCAACCCGTAGAGAACAAATCTTTTTTACTGGAATTTGCCGTTTGTTTTAATGTTAGATGGATTTTTAAACTAACTCGGTAAATCTGGGTTTGCATTACTTCCGAGCTATCCGATATAAAAACAATATCATCCACTTAAAAAAAATAACTCACACAATTATTCTCTATATTGGTTCCTAAGCCAAGATATCTAATTTCTTGAACTTAGTCGTCAATAAAAAGTGTAAACAAGGTACAAGCAAGGTTATCAACCTGCATTACACCAGCCTCTGCTGAGAACAAGCCAGTTAGTGGACCATTTTATCGTACATATTACCACGTATACAAATTGAAAGTAGTTTTAAGAAAACTTATTATATGATTTAAACGGACAAATCTTTAACTGACGTCGATAAAGCACAAATAAGTTTCTTTGATCATCATTTCCATATCTCTCTGAATCGTACGCAAATTAAATATGTGATCTTTATGCAATTCTCGCAATTCATTCTGCACTTGACTTATGCAACGGTTTCCGAGTGAGTTTCGAAAAGCTTAACCTTTCTTGAGCAGTGGATAAATAATACTTCTACCTCAAAAACCAACGTCCTTTCTTGAAATCGAGGTTGAAAATTGCTTTGTCGACGAACCGAAGAATTGAAATGAGCGTGGAATCATGTGTTAATACATTTAAGATAATATTAACAAAATGGTTTGTAGGTGAATTTATTTGAGGATTAAAAAAACATACAATAAAGTACTATTCAAAATCGAAATGCTCGGTAAAGCTAGTTGTGGACAGTCGATTCCAAAAGGAACATGTAACCAATACGTCGATACTTGCATGACTAAAATAATACAGTTTGACTATCAGTGACCAGTAAATGAATGACATGTTATTGTACAAACGAGGTAGCAACTTCATACTTGATAGCAGTTTTTGCAGAAAAAACATGTCGCCACCACTGAAATCGACAAATGCCAACTGGACCAGCAGTAATAGCCTGTGGTATAGGGTCTTCTGAATCAATTTTGTTTTGCAAAAGGACTCAAAGTGCGATTTTATTGCATATTGTAGGGCTCGAATGTTTTAGAACTTTTGTAAGATGTTTGTTTAAGAGTTAATATTTTTTGCGACAGTTCGGGCGGAGAAGGGGAACTTGGGACGATTAGCTGCTCAGTTTGTATCTAGATAATTTTATATTATATTCTTTAGCTTTAACTATTAATTTCAAATAACTTTAATACACAAGTATCTTGTATATTGTTTTAAAGTAGCCATGAGGTTAGGGTCCCACTTTATCTCTCAATTTCATCAAGTTTAAAAGGATAAATGCATTTGAGCTTATAGAAGTATTCAGAGAACAGGCAATTATACAGTTGGAGTTGACCTACTAATGCTTGCAAATAGTAATATATATTACAATATAGTGTAAAGTGACACCAAAACAATGACATATCGCGATGGATATCGTTTGTAAATTTATATCAAAACCATGTAATTAGTACCGAGTCTGAAATTTCTTTAGATATGACTTAACACAAATTTATTTTAATGAAAATATGAATATAATGTGCCAATGTCGTTTTTTTTTAATTTTTGTTCAAATGAGGTGACATTGAAAATGATAACGTTTTGCGGCAATTAAAGTAAGTTCGTAGTAGATTAAGTCTGATTAAGTAGCCTTAAACAAATAATGAATATAATACCATGATTTTAACCCGTCGAACCTTAACAAATGTGAAAGTAGAACAAACTCATAATTGAGAGGGGATGTCCTTATGGCTTTTTATAACAATCAAAACATTTAAATCAATCTTTAAATGAAATAAATCTGTCTTGCATACTTTTATTTTGTATATACTCTGAACTAGTTTGCCTATTTTAGATACAAGTATATATAAACCATAAGAAATTATGTTTATCTTATTACTTTCAATAGTGTACTACTCTATGACAAATCTAAAAAGGTTCGACTTTATATATTTCAGGACAAACCCAAATCAGTTTAGCCGGTAACGGATCGACATTGTATCAAGGTCGCGTTGAAATCACAAGAAACAACATCAAAGGAACTGTATGTAAAAATAGCTTCGACGATCTTGCGGCTTCAGTTGTTTGCAGACAACTAGGTTTTCAGTAAGTGACTTAGTGTTTAAAACTTTTCAATTTTAAATATAATCATTGAAATTTATCTCTCTTCGATGTATAGATTTGAAACAATCAGTTTAATTGAAAAAAAAAACATTTTTGATGAAAGTATTAATCTATTGGATATTTGATATTTCAAAGAACAGATTTAGATTCAAATATTTTATTTGAGTCTTACCACTTGTAATACATAAGCATACTGTACATATAAAGTATTATACAATAATACACAATATAATACAAACAATCTAAATAGGTAAAAAAAACAAGTGCCATTCTATAAAGAATTATGAGAGACTGTAAAATACATTTCAGTTAAAACATTTATGTAAAACATAATATTATATAAAATAACTTTATAAGAAATATTTAAGCTGGTTTTGGCCACCATACTATAACACTCGTTATTTTCAAATAAATACACAAACTTGTCATATTACCTGCATGTAGCGGGCATGATAATACACGTACAACATGTTTCTCATCTTACCTTGCATATAAAAGATGCTCTTTCATGAGTACATTTATTTTCATACCATCGAGTTCCTAATCTTAACGGGACTACTCCAAAAGCACTCTATATTATTAAAAAATATTCCTAGACAAATGAAATTCTTTTCCAAAGTAAATATTTAACAATTTACAAGTTCGTAATTTTACCCGATTTTGTGGCAGTACTCTTTTTTACCAGTTTCTATTGGCTGAAATCGGTATTTGTAATAAAACCGTTGGGTCGGTTTCACTTGTACAAGTTGTTAGAGCGTACGATCCGCCATTAAGAGAGTTCTTCAATATTGACATATTTTAGATTCAACATGTTTAAACGCGTTTCTGGTGATTTTCATGTCAAGCAATTATAAAATCAGGGAGGTAAAAAAGCTATGTTTATTTGTGTTTTTTTTTTCTTATTGCTATCGAATTTTATCATACTAGTTGTTTAATTAAAGTTTTTCTTTCAGAATCGATTGATAATATATTTTTTCAATTACTTTATTTTTCATTACGGGGTTTTCGCACTTGCGCTGTGTAGTTACCAAATTCATACGAGAGATGTTATGGGGAACGACATTGCAAACACAAAAACTGTCAGTAAATTGGAGTATGGGAAGAAATAATTCAATAGCATTACACTTTTGAAGATTTTGATAAATAAAGGATTTTCTTTGAAAATAAAGTCTATGTACACGTGTTTTATAGTTAAACTAAGCCATTCAAGTATATAAAACATATTCAACTTTTTTGTTCAATTTGAGTATCATATCATTTTAAGGGCATACGATACAGTAGCAGGGGCAGATAAAAACGTTTTTAAAACTTTTCGTGTCGTTTTCGCGACGTTGTTAATCAGAACGTTGTAATTTCGCGATGTTTCTAATAAGAACGATTACATTTCGCGACGTCGCTTTAGATGTAGTCACATTTGCGGAAATCCACTGACGTCATAATCCCGATTGCGCGAATTTGAAAAAAGTACCTGCAATGAAAATCGGCCAAATCACGAGAATTATTCCTTTATTCATTAATAAGGAAGTCAACAATATTAACTTCGAATGGGAAAAAATCAAATCCACATTCTTTATTTTGTATGTCTTTTATTTCATATAGAAAATGAATAAGAGATATGAAACACATAAGACATCGATGAGAGAGAAACCCAACTACACAAAATTTTTTTTTTATATAGTAACTTCACCATTTGGCTAACTCTAAATCGTAATGAGAATTGTACGGATAAATTTAACAGAGACTATCAACAAAATGACAAAAAAATTGCAATAAATAATGACAGCGCATCTTACTGCTCCTGACTTTGAAAAGGTACATTAAAGAGTTTAAAAAACATTTTTAGAATTTAACCCGTGGAATATATAAGTGTATGAAGGAGAATTGTCAGTTAAAATGACTTAGTTATAAGCCCCGTATCATAGACCAAAAACAAAAACGCACCCGTTGATGTGCTAAGCATATCCTCTGTGTACATATTGAGAGAGAAAAATCGGCACACAGGAATTAGGTATTTGACAGACCAGAGTTGCAACTCATTGATGTTAAGTTACTGACCAAATACGAAGTCTTTTTGTAAATGAGTTTCTCAGATAAGAAACAAAATATTTGTTGGACCAGACAATCAATGTGGTTGCACTCACTCCTAGATTGAAGGTACAATACAGAGAAAGTAATTCAATGATTATATGTACCGTAATAAAAAAAAAACCTGAAGACAAGCTTAGGTAACTTATCTATTGATACAGAATCATTAAATTTCATGCTCTAATATCGACTGCTGTATGGAATGTTATACTACACTGTAATTGACTAAGCTGACCCGATTTAATGTGGGTATGATTTTGTGTTCATGTAATGCCTATAGAGTAGGTCGTTAGTTTTCTTGTTTGAATTATTTCACATTTTCATGTCGGGGCTTTTTAAAGCTGACTATACGGTGTGGCTTTTTCTTTTTCTTTTTTTTTTTATTGTGTTGAAGGCCGTAGGGTGACCTTTAATAGCGTTTATATTCGTCATTTGAACTATGGTTGATAGTTGTCTCTTTTGCAATCATACCAAATGTCCTTATTTCTATATCATCCCCCGAACTTTATAATTGATGCACATTTTGTCATGTCGGGGCCTTTTCAATAATTAAAACTATGTTCAAGCTGTGTTGTCTACATGAATTGTATGACTAATGTCGGACAGAGAGGCAAATTAATTTTTTTTATTAAATATATCTGTTTTGTTTCCGAACATTTCTTTTCTAAAAGTAATTTACTAGAATAATTTTTCTATCCAAGTTTCGTAACAATTCATAAAGGTTTGGCAAATATGATGCTATTTTACGAGGAGCCAGCTTTATTAATTTTCATGATTAATATCATTGGTTTAAAAAAACACATTGGCTCTACCACTGAAATTGACAACGTAGTATAGTGAACGGCGGGAAAGATTTCACAACGTTGTTGCGAATAAAACTTATTCCAACGTAGTTTGGCGCCTTATTGGCAAACGTCCCGTTTGCCAATAAAAATTAAGGTTTATTGCTTTTATTGAAAAAACAAGCACATGGACCCCCAGTTTTTTCTTTTGCAATCGATCAAGTTCTGTTTCAAGAACGCTCCGCCAAAATTTTAAGAAAAAATCAACGATAGAATTTTTTCTGTACTTCTGTGTAGACGCAAAAATATTTTCAACTTCTTTATTTCACTTGTATTAAAAGAATTTAGGATATAATTATTTATTTCAACCGTTAACTTGTTACAACATGCTGATGCCATGGATCAAGGGAACATTTTACAAAAAACCCGGTTAAAATATGACTGTTCGTTCAAAAGTATTGGTACTTTCCTTAAAAGTCCTTATTTATGAAATTTCAGGGTTTTCCTTCAAATATGCAGATTTCGAACCAAATTATCTCAAAAAGTAAGTCATGAAGGTATATTTTTCTTTGCATATTTTAAAAGTACACATCGAAATTGACCTTCTACCAAAATTTCAAGAAAAAATCAACGAGGGATCTCTACTGTATCGTATGCCCTTAATGAATATGCAATAAGATTAGGTCCCTTTCGTTTTTTTAAATCACTAAGTCTAAGATCAAGGTCAAAGCTTTATGATAGACCGAAACTAGCGCAGGACGAGAGATTCCGGAAATAACTCTAGAACTTTACTTTGGATTGGAAACACACATAATTAATGAGATGAAGATTATCATATTCAATTTCAAGGTAAAGGACACAATAAACCGAAATAAGTGCAGAAGATCAACTTCACAAATAATACACGATGGTCTTAAAGTATAGATTCTAGGTACTGACGTTGTTTATCATCTTAATTACGTGTTATAGTGTTCTTGTATTTGTCTTTGTAAATTATTACTTTTACTGTTTAGTCTATTTTTGGTTATATCCATTTGACTTGGCTCGGTACTTATACATCCCGTCATTGTGTTATAGTGCTATAGTAATTTTTTGTATTCTTCACTTTCGTTTTTGCTTGTGTGCTTTGTATAAATGCCTTTTTGTTTTTCTTTGTTGACATATTTGTTTGTTTTTATAGTGATTAAGATTATAACACAATGTTGACTGCAGTACCCCTATTTTTGATATTTAAACGTATTATGTCTGTTTGTTTTGTTCACACATTGTTGTCAATACAATGAAATTTTATGCGACCTTCATACAAGTTAGAAGTTTAGCTAGCTATAAAACCAGGTTTAATCAATCATTTCTACATAAGAAAATGCCTGTACCAAGTCAGATATATGACAGTTGTTATCAATTCGTTTTATGTGTTTGAACTTTTGATTTTGCCATTTGATTAGGGACTTTCTGTTTTTTATTTTCCTCGGAGTTCGGTATTTTTGTAATTTTACCTTTTTCCGGGAATAACTCTAGAACCTCATAGGAGACGAGTTATAAGATTGAAACTTTACTCAGATATATGGTTATTTTAATGAGAGGACCCCTATTGAACTTGCGGCCATAACATCTTCGATAAAGGTCAAAGTGTTAAAAGTACACCGCAATAAGTGCACGGAGAAGTTTTCGAAGTATAACTCTAGGACCTTACTTGGGATTAGAACGATGCCACTGCTGGTGAAGGTTTTTTCCCCCGGGGTATCACCAACCCAGTAGTCAGCACCGCTGACCTGTGTTGATTCTTAGATCAATGTCATATTTGATAAAAGAAAAAGGAATAGACAAAATTGAAGCAGACAGTGATTTCCAGATAGAAACACAATAATTATTAACATCCAACTTCATGGCAGAAAAAATACCATGAAAATAAGTACAATTAGAGTTAATCAGTGTACAGTATCCTTTAAAAAAAAGGTAGAAATCAGATTTTCATAATTAAACTCTTTTCGGGAGGAAGATTTGGTCATTAAACGTCTAAGCTGTACGTGCTAAAACTAATTTTATCTTGCTCACTTAGGATCTTGAATATTTATTAAGCAAATATCGTAGACATTGACATTAGTATAAAACGTTTACCTTGTGTTTGCTTGCATTTCCAGTATTCAAGCAAAACAAATTCAAATGAAATATTTCAAGTCTGTTTCAATACCACTTTTTCTTGTTGTTAGAAATGGTGGTGTAGCTGTAATTGATGGGCGGTTTGGAGAAGGGACTGGACCTATATTGCTAGATAATGTTATTTGTACTGGAGCTGAACAAGACATTTTAGAGTGTTCATATCAGAACCAGTCAAATTGTGTACACAGCGATGACGTCGGTGTGATCTGTAATGCAACATCTCCCACCTCGATCTCGACGACTAGCGTGCCTATAACTGTACAACCATCAAACTGTATGTTTAAATTGTATTTTAAGTGCATCGTTTTTCTTATTTGTGTATTTATACAATCTAGAAATGCACATTAATCTCAGCAAAAACTTTTCGATTTAACGCGTTTTTAATTGTCTAAAATTATTATAAATATGCTAAGTCTTTTAACATCATTTTCGTAATAAAATTCGGTACTTGTGATACGTTCAATTTGTACTTTTTTATTCCCTGTACTCCCCTCATTTTACGTTTGACATGATGCATTGCTTCAAACTTTAACATGATATCGTGTTGCAACTGAACATTACTTACGTATTTCTTTTATCGCAATTAGATTTGTTGTGCATTTACTGGAAATTAGTAGTTGTAATAGTGTTGATTACTTGTAAAAATAATGGTCTAATTGTTTTATCAATTTAGGTGGTACACCAGGTAATCTTGACATACGTCTAGTCGGACCAGCAAATTTAATCGGAGTCGGATATGTAGAAGTACTGAGAAACGGTGTATGGGGATCGATATGTGACGACCTCTGGGGGAAACAAGATGCTCGGGTTGTGTGTCAAATGTTATGCTATGAGTAAGTTGATAAGAAAGACATGACACTGTGAACACCACGTACGTAGTTTTTATGCATTAACTTGGTTCTTAGATTTACCTTGAAGCCTTTGCACTAATGTATTAAAACCTAAGAATCTGTTACAAGGATGACAAAAAAATCAGATGATCCACCTCAAAGAAAAACAAACGAAAGTAATGTATGTACATAAGAGAGACAATAACAATTATTTTTCCTTGTTTTCAGTCCTAACAATGCTCAAGCAGGTGCACCTATAGATATTGACCATGCCAAAGTTCAGGTTAGCACAACTTATCATCTCGATGATGTAGAATGTACCGGTACAGAAACGAACATAAACCAATGCCCGCAATCTGGCGGAAATCACAACTGTGACGCCATACAACAGGAGTATGCCAGCGTTACTTGTATACCACTTATAAATACACGACTAACCGGTAAGAGTAATTGTCTCTATGACTCGATAAAACATATTAAAGTACATGTGTAACGTTTGACTAATGGAACCCCCATTCATTTTTTGTCAGGTCAGCATTAACAGTAAAGGTCATTGACTAAGACAATTCGTTTCAACGTTTTGACATCAGAGAGATATTTGACAATGTAGCAGTAGAGCAGGAATAAGAACTAAATTATCATTGTTTTATGGATATAATGTACATAAGTCTAAATAACTATAGTTTTATGGATATATTGTATATCAGAATTAAATCAAACCAGTCTTTATGGATTTACTGTACATCAACTACCACTGTTAAAACTACTATAAGACACTTTTGTATAGAACTAAATCATAATATCAATTATAGCCTTTCTGGTTATTATTTTTCAAATTAAAAAGGAAATAGATTCATAAACACCTCATGAAGAACAACAACCCGTCTGAATGAAAAAAAGTTGTGCAAATTTATAAAGATAATTGATAAATGCCTAGAATCGCTTTTACAACCACTTTATGTCTCTATCTTGCATTAGTATTTATATTTTGTACAATGTATGTTAATTTATTTGCGCACGTCTCTATACCATTATATTTATGAGATTAAAAATCTATAAAGGAAAATTAATTAGGATCCTCGCACGACGACATTTGGTGGTATATCATTTTATCAGATCTTTTAAGGTCCATTTTGTTTTGATTCTTACAAACGTTAAGAATTTGGCCTCCAAAACTTTGTCGAACCTGAGGTAGGCTATTGAAGAAACACATATCTTGACCAAACGGTCCCGGTGTTACGTTTTATACGATGTATTATATTTTAAAGTTATATTGCTAGTATGCAAAATTGATAGTTTGTTTGTCTATATGCTTGTTTTCCTCTTTTTAACAAACTTTAGCACCTCCGTATAGAATATGATGTAAAAAGTAAAATAACAAAAATACCGAACTCCAAGGAAAATTCAAATCGGAAAGTCCCTTATCAAATGGCAAAATCAAAAGCTCAAACACATTAAACGAATGGAAAACATCTGTCATATTCCTGACTTGGTACAGGCATTTCCTTATGTAGAAAATGGTGGATCAAACTTGGCTTTATAGCTAGCTAAACCTCTCACTTGTATGACAGTCGCATAAAATTTCGTTATATTGACAACAATGTGTGAACAAAACAAACTGACACATTAGGTAAAAATGTCGAAAATAGGTATTTTTTTAAGCGAAATTAATGATTTGAAGCTGAAAAGTAGTGTTTGAGTACTGCACTCTAAAAATCTGGTAATTTCAACTACTGTTAAGCATATAGTCCTTTTATCTTTATGTTTAAATAACGCTGACCTTTACTTTTGCATTGTCTTATCAGCACCGATTCCCGAGATGAGTTGTGCCAATGGAAATTTCAATATTCAGTTTAGTCGGATACAAGATCCCCATTTGGAAGAGAGGCATTTGACCATTTATCACCCTTATAACGGACCATGCAATATGGCAAAACAAACTTTCACTACCTTTATAACAGTTACCATACCTTATAAAGATTGTGGAACAGCCGTAATTGTAAGTATAATTATCAAATTAGCTTGAGGGTATTTGAAAAAAAGTGTCCAAATGATGAATAAATCTGTGACTTCATGTTTTGTGTTTAAAGCAAATATATGCACAGGATTTTTTTGTTTGTACACAGTTTTGATTTAGAAGAAAAACCGACATGGTTAGAAAATACAAATAATAACACCATTACAAACACAATTCCATTTTAATATTCTTGTCATGGTTAGGAATTACATAAAATAATATCATTACAAATTCAATCCCAATTTAATATTCTTGTACGTGTCTATAAATAAAACATTTTATTTTATTTTTAGAAATTTTCCTGTGATAATATAAACGTCACAAAAAATACGTCACTTTTTGTGACGTTGATCCATTCATGTGACGCGCAGTTTATATTTCGTTTGTGGTGTCCTGGTGTGCTGTCGTAAATCCATGGGAGGTGTCCGTTGTTATTCTGCGGTTTACATGTTGTAATGTACTATTATATTATTTATTTATGTATTTCTCTGTGCTGTGTGTTCTTGCGTTTGTTAATACTGTATTCTTGTCACGTAGTGTTGTCATTTTAGCGGTATTTTTAGCATTGCCATATAGGTGGGAGGTTTGGCTAGCCATTAAACCAGGTTCAACCCACCATTTTTTCTTAAAATGTCCTGTACCAAGTCAGGAGGCTGCAGACCACAATTAATTCCCTTTGTTCGTGGTCTAGGAATATAGTTCCCAAGTATTATATGGGATATTTCTTCAGCAGTATTCTGACTACTGTTTACTTTGAAAAGTTTACTGTTTAAGTGATCTTATCAGATGCATATACATTGAAATAAGTAAAACATGTGGGAAAAATTTACTGTTGAAAGTGAAAGTAGTGATGTGGCCCAAATGAAAGTAGGGTAGAATTTAGCCGTTGGCATTTATTCAAGATTCAAATCCTACCATTGGCATGTTAATAGGGCTCTCAAAAGAAAAAGCAGTGATGGATTGTCCTGGGACAAGCATATTTTGTTAGAACAATAATGGTCTATAAGCAGTTACATTTGTTTCATGTTTGAACCGGTGCAATTTTTAATTCAATTTGACTTTTTCAAAGAAATGCATTGTAACCAATGGGAAGAATAATTGTGGTCAAAGGCCATGAATATGGCAGTTGTTATCTACAATCCGTTTCTATGTATATTGGCGTTTTCTTTTGTTTTAGTTCAGTGTTTCTGTTGTTCCATTGTTTTCCTCTTATAGTTGATGTGTTTCACTCGGTTTTAGTTTGTTACCCGGATTTGTTTTTGCTTAATCGTATTATGACTATTGAACAGCGGTATACTACTGTTGCCTTTATTTGTGTATCTTTTTATATACCGTTTTTATGGACAAGAAGTTATATCGATAGTTGTGTTTGTTCGTCCGTTCGAGTTTTCGTCTAACCGCTCTTGTGGTATCCTAAATTAGTGACCTGATTCTTAGACAATTTTTAATTCCTAATTGCCATGTGCACATTCAATTTCGTTTGGGCAATTGTTTGGTTTTTCTTTATGTGTCTTGCTTTGTTTTGTTCATTTTTTAGTTTAGTTTTGTAGTTTTATGATTATTTTTTTTGTTTGTTTGATTTATAACGAATAGAACAATGAACCAGTGTTATGCAAAGTTTGTTTGATATGTAACTAATAGAATTATGAAATATGCAAATTTGAGGTTTTATACCGTAAATCCTATAAAATCACCACTTCTTGTTGAAGCTTCTTTTTCAAAGTCAGGAAAATTTTAAGCTTTACATCACTTTTTTGTAATGTCCACCTGTGTTTCCTGTTTTTTTTTATAAATATCATTGATTCTATCATGCATCTGAAGAAATTACCACTTCAAATCTATATAATTGGAATCCAATCAAACCAATCCTCCTATGATTGAATCTTGGGGTGTCTAGTTTCAAGTTTGTGAATAATATAACCCTCCATCAACAAACATGGCCGCCACGGCTAAAGCAGAACTTATAGGTAGAATCAAGTAGTTGTCTAATATCTTGTAAGCCATAATAGTTGAGAAAATATTATAAAGGTTTGAATGTACAGAACATCAAGATCCACCTATTTTTTAAAGTGGTAATTTAATTTCATCGTCACCAAAATTATCAGATGATTACTTATAGTAGTAACTTACCTTAAGGTACCACAATACAAAGATTTTTTACTTCCAATCTCCAACCTTTAAAATGATGTTACTTTCTTATGACTGCATACAAATTAATAAAAGAGGTATATATAGATAGATAAAAGATTAATCTTTTAAATGAATGCAATATTTTTGTTATGCAATCATTATGTAATCAATTATTATGCAATTAATGACAAAATCTTGGTCAGTTCACTTGAATGAATTTAGCTCTGACATCTCTATAACTACACAAGAAATTTTAACGTTATCTTAATCAACACAGCAAGAGCTACAAAAGGGTATTCAATTCTCTCATAAATCTGTAATTAGTGTAAACATCCTTACCACATAAAAGTAGAGATTATTTGATTAGGTGTAAAATTTGATCTATACATTCTATCCAAAATCTGAGACACCCTTTTGTAGATAATGGCTCTAGGAACAACATAATATAAAATAAACCCTCTCGGGGTATCCATGAAGAAGCTAATTTCAATTGAAAGTGGAAATTTCTTGTAAAAGTTTATAGACACAGTTAAAATTATAATTAATTACATAATTGTTGTATAATACTAACATTGCATTAATTTGAAAGAATACTCTGTTAGCTATCCATACATACCACTTTTATAAATTTTCAAGCATTATAAAGAAAGTTACAGCATTTTAAAACTGGGGAGTTGGAGGTATAAAATCTTTGTATTGTGCTACCTTAAATGACGATTTTAGACACATTTCAGCGTTTTTTTGTCTTTCATCCTTAAAACAATAATAAAAAGACAGAAACTATAAATAGCAGAAATAACATGTATCAGCAATTAAAGATCTATAATAATGACACATTACTGAAAACAAATTACTGAAACCAAGTGGTGAAGTTGAATTCATCCCTTCGTAAATTTTACGGACGCAATCACGAGTTGGTTGACCGGTACGGAATACCCGTTTCACAGATGATAGCGTTCCTAATGTCGTAACTACAATCCCGTCCCCTTTTCCCGAATGTGACCTACCGAATTAGACTTATTAACAGGTTTGTACTAACATGAACAACACGACGGGTGCCACATGTGGAACCGGATCTGCTTACCCTTCCGGAGCACCTGAGATCACCCCCAGTTTTTGGTGGGGTTCGTGTTGCTCAGTCTTTAGTTTTCTATGTTGTGTTTTGTGTACTATTGTTTGTCTGTTAGTCTTTTTTCTTTTTTAGCCATGGCGTTGTCAGTTTATTTTCGACTTATGAGTTTGAATGTCCCTCTGGTATCTTTCGCCTCTCTTTTGTAAATTCTTCAACAAAAACTCTTCATATTTCTTATTCTGGGAAGTATTAGAGTATTCCGCCAACTTAGATCGTTAATGACTGGCACACTGTTAAAACATTAATGTCCCTTTGGTATCTTTCGCCTCTCTTTTATCGCATCCTTAAAGGAGTGACTGCCCTTTAATGATCATTTATGTGGAGCAGGATCTGCTTAACCTTCCGGAGCACCTGAGATCACCCCCAGTTTTTTGTGGGGTTCGTGTTGCTTAGTCTTTAGTTTTCTATGTTGTGTCATCTGTACTATTATTTGTCTGTTTCTCTTTTTATTTTTAGCCATGGCGTTGTCAGTTTGTTTTCGATCTATGAGTTTGACTGTCCCTCTGGTATCTTTCGTCCCTCTTTTATGACAAATTTTAGCATTTTTGCCTAGTATCATGAATATATATTATGGACGGACAGAAACAGCAAAATATTACCAGCAATAAAAGATCTACAAAATTGTTAATATGACTGAAGCAATGAAATAACCCTTAGACGAGTTAATTTTCAAAAATGACATTTTTCGACACACTTTTTATTTTCTTTTAAGAACTATAATAGATAAACAGCAAAGAAAATCTGCAATTAACGATCTACAAAAACCTCTATATCGCTTCCTTATGGAAGTTATTGCCCTAAATTTACTGTTTTGTTGAATTTTACCATTTTCGGCTGGGTTGGACGAAATCCAAAACCGGCTTATAGTAAGGTAATGTTTGGCGGATGAGCAAGCGGGAGGGGGAATGTGGGAATAGTAGGTACCTAGTTCGTGTAATCAACTCCTCCTACATTACTCAACCCAGATCCCTAAACCTTCACTGGCAGATTGCACATATGTTGAAATTGTGCACCTGCTATTATGGAATTGTATCTCATTTTTTCTGACATGGGAATTTGTCAGCCAAATTTATGCAAGGCGGAACAAGTTTTGTGTAATCCACTCTTTTTACAGTCTACCTAATTTTTGTAATCAACTCCTCCTACACAAAGAATATTGAAAACTTTGTATATCAAAGTAACAGCAACCTTCCTGCTGTTCTTCGCCTTGAAGGGGCCTCGGTGGCCAAGTGGATAAGTAGTCCAACTACTGGATCACTAGCCTGGGGTTGTGAGTTCTAATTCCGAACGTGGCATTCGTTCGACTCCAATCTTAATTGACATGGATTGTCAGTTTCCCTACCGAAAGTCGGTGGTTCTCTCTGGGCACTCCGGCTTCCTCCACCAATAAAAACTGACAACAACGAAATAGCCAATAGTGCTGAAAGTGGCGTTAAACACCAATTTACCAATCAATCAATCTTCATCTGGGTAGTTATTTAAGAAAAAGTCTTCTTCCTTTCATAAAATTGCAACTACATTCTACATTGATAAGTCAAAAATAATACAACCCGTCCATTTGAGACCCATTGCTTGGCTTTTATCTTGAAAACAATAAAAGATAGACAGAAACTAGAAACAGCAAAAGTCTCCAGCAATAGAAGATCTACAAAAATAAAATCGACTGAAACAGTTTATTTGTGAATGATAGGAGTTGTTATCCTTAAATAGAAATAAGAAGATGAGTTATGAGTGCCAAAGAGACAACTCTCCATCCAAGTCACAATGTGTAAAAAGAAAACAATTAATGGTCAAAGTACGGTCTTCAGCACGGAACCTTGGCTCACACCGAACAGCAAGCTATAAAGGGCCCCAAAATGACTAGTGTTAAACAATTCAAACAGGAAAACCAACGGTCTAATCTATATTATTGTCTAATCTATATAAGTATCTATGTCTATATTTGACGAATTTTACCATGTTCGCCTATTATCTTGACATCTTTAATAGAATAAAAGAAACTGAACAAACAAACAAAATCAGCAGTATAAGATCTGCAGAATGCCATCATGACCAGAATGAAAATTTACCCCTTTTAGGATTTATTGTTCTACCACTATTTTCCTCTTTTTTCCTACAACGTAAATACCAGATCTAAAAAAAAAGTGCAAAAACTGAGCTATTTATCGACTACTTAAATCAAAACTGTCAAACGACTGTAAACATTAATCCCCTTTATGCAGGAGAATTGCCCTTAAATAATTATTTTGCTTTTTAGTTTTAAAATAAATATAAGAGAAAAATGCCAAAATTATTAGAAATACCGGATGAATAAAAACAAAATGAATTGAAAGTTGAGTAAATATTTTTGTTGATCTGTAATTTTTAATGTAAATATCAATATGGCTTTATTATTTTTTCACGAGATGAGAGTTTCAGGCTCCTTGAAACTTCAAGTTTTCATTTGAGTAGTTATTGTTTTAGTTTTGTCTTCATTTCTTCATTTTTTCTCGCTCAAAATTACTTTCAGACATCAAAATACCACTTTAAATCAAATGAAAACCCATTTCTGCGTTTGTTATTTCACTCTGAGCAAAGAAAAGTTGAATCAGGCCTAACTATACTTTAGAAGTCGCTAACAGTTGACCTTTAGGATCAAATTTATCATCAAAATTACACATTATGAATTTGTGGCGTCCGCATCGCGTTTCATAACAAACTTTCATTAAAACTCAAATACCGGTATTTGAAAGCTAAAGGTGTGCTAATAGCTCAATATTAGAGGAGCTATATGGCTAAAAGGAACAGGGAAAAAATAGCCAAATTCATTTAAGTTAAACGTTGCATGAGTTATTTGGAACCTTAATCTCTTAAAATGTTCAAAATTTATCTACTGAGAATTTCAGAAATATATGGTATAAATCATATCATAACCGGAGCACTCACTACTGAGTTGATGTTACCATCGAAACCTTACAGCCCACTAGCAGTGGAATCGACCTACTGGTATATAATTTGAATTTGGTGCTTTTTGTGAGTAATCTAAGGTAACTAAGACTCGGTAGATAGACTCAAACGTTAAAGGATTAATCTTTGCTTATTTTAAGATGAACTCAATTATTCTATCAGCAAAACAAATAATGTTGCACTATAGAGAATATCTACTGTATGTCATAAGGAAATATGCTTTTATTTTAAATGTAATTTGTTTACTTCTATAGCTTAATACCACTAACATTATTTACCTCAACACTATAAAATATGACTACACACTGGTGCAGAACGAGATAGGAGGGCAGATTGTCCGTGTAAACACCTACAAAGTCGAGGTTTGTTGTATTTTCCCACGTGATCTTGAAATAAACAGAGGATTTACTCCCCTTCCAGAGAGCGTTAAGAAGAAAGCACCAGGAAATTTCAGTATAATAATGACATTGTACAATGATTCGTTTATCACTTCCTTAAATCAACCAGTGGAATTAATACTTGGTGAATGGTTGAATGTTGCATTGAAACTGGAAGATACAGAGGGCCATCCCGATCTTAAGCTTATAGTACCAGACTGTAAAGCGACACCATCCGACCAGCCAAATGACCCAACATATTATACCTTATTTAGCGAAAAGTAAGTTTATCATTTCAGTAAAATGAAAAAAAAAGTATCGTATTGTGACGTATTCTACTTCTCACATAGTATGACATTATATTTATTTACAAACACAAGTGATTTGTACTGGATCTTGCTTTACTGATTTTCTTTCATTATCAACCAAGCTTATTTCGAAATCTAGCTGCATATAATGCTACATCTAATTTAATGCGACGGTTATACAAGTGAGAGGTTAAGCTAGCTATAAAACCAGGTTTAATCCACCATTTTCTACATAAGGAAATGCCTATACCAAGTCAAGAATATGTTTTCTATTTGTTTGATCTATTTGAGCATTTGATTTTGCCATTTGTTTAGGGACTTTCCGTTTTGAATTTTCTTTTGAGTTCGGTACTTTTGTTATTTTGCTTTCTATCTGCGTAATGACTGTTGGCAGCCGCTTAACATATAGAACATGGGTTAATGAAACTATTTATTTAATAAACATATGCTTTTGTGAATCCTAATAATAATATAAATATAAGGAGTAATTAAGATTTCATTTTTTTCAATAGGAATTCCGACAAGATTGCTCTGTTTGTTGAAACAAAATATTAGATATAATTGATATTAACCAAAATGAAATACACACCTGGAGGTTACGATTCTTTCAAACTGTAGTTTCAAATTTCAGTTTTACAAATCATTTTTGCATATTTTTGTGATCATTAAACTTCTACCAAAATATAATTCCTACTGATATTTTTGTGAGCTAATGTTGAGCTGTATAATACAATTAAAATGTTCATGTAAGATGATAAATAGCGAAAAAAATTCTTATGTATGTATCCAATTTAAACGTGACCTAAAATATTTTTCAAAATTATTAGATCGATTTGGTGGCGTAATATTCCTCTCCCTTTTACTATATCAGCTTAAGTGTTGTATATAAATATCGATTCGCAATAAACAAACCGCGAAAAAAAACTCCAAACGGAGCGAGTATGAGTCGACTGGGTAAATGGATTCTGCTATGGATACATCATTGAGTGTCATTTAAAGTTTAAATTAGAAGACCACTTTAGTTTTAACCATCTTAAATTTTGAAACATTGATTTAGTTTCTTATTTCAGAATTCTAAAGAAAATTGCTGATGTTTGTAAAGTAGTCAGTTGAAAAAATCAATTGAATGCGTGTGTGTGTCATCATTATTGTCGTTCCTCTGTACTTGCTTTTTGTAAACATACTTAAATACTAGTATTTACTTTCACGTTGCAGGTGTGCTGACGATCCAACTCTAGGCTTCTTTCCTTTGAATTCTACTACGTTTGGATTCCGCTATCAGACATTTAAATTTTATCAGTACGAAAACATTTACATTCATTGTAACGCTTGGGTATGTCTAACGACAGAGAAAAACCGCGACTGTGATCGAACCTGTAACTTGACAAACTCTATCGGTAGGAGAAAGCGAGATGTTTCCTCCAGAGATGTGTACCAGTTGCTTAGTCAGCCACTAAACTTTAAGCAACAAGGAGATAATTCACTGATAGATCGAGGAGGTGGATGGCAAGTCGATTTAGGTAAGGTGAAGAAATGATAATGGCTGAGAACTTCAGAAAGAGACAATAAACCAAATTGACAAAGTCAAAGAAAAACCGATAACATAATGAAAAAAACAAAAAGATGTCGAAATGACATAGAACAAAAAGTATACAAAACAATACAAAAAAAACTAAAAACTGAGCAACACAAACCTACTTAGAAAGCAGAGGTTAATCCCAGGTGTTGATTCAACAGTAAAATTACAATGATCAAAATTATCTTTGCGAAGTCAATGTACATTTGTGACATAACATATGCGGGTAGAATACATTGATTAACTCACAAATTGAATAAAAGTCCTTCGTTGTGTTAAGGTTTTGAGGTAGCGACCATGTTTACACATCAATGACCTCTAGAAAATATGTGTTTAATACGTATAATTCTTAGCGTACACATTTGTTATTTTTTTTAATTAATTATAATTTTCTTAGAACCCCAATATTCCAATCATGTGTATAGCACACGAATATATTACGGTAAAATTAACAATTTATGTACAAAGCGTACGAAAGCAGAAAATTTGCAGTATTGCTTAACGTAGGGTAAAACAAGTTAACACTATCAAGTGTTGTATATATGCAAGTCATGTAAGACTTATCACCGTTTACATGATATAGTAATGCTGGTTTATGTTTACTTTTAAAAGATGTAGAATAATAAGTTATTACTCATTTACTTTTTATGGAGTTTGATATCTCAGAACTATTTCCCTACTCCAAGCCAACATCAAACTAGAAAAACTGCTTTTTTATGTCACAAGAAAAACAATTTTGGTAAGTGTAATTTCGTCTGTCCGTCCGGAACAAAAAGTAAAATAACAAAAATACCGAACTCCAAAGAAAATTTAAAACGGAAAGTCCTTTATCAAATGGTAAAATCAAAAGGTAAAACACATCAAACGAATGGAAAACAACTGTCATATACCTGACTTTTCCTTATGTAGGAAATGGTGAATTAAACCTGGTGTAATAGCTAGCTAAACTTCTCACAAATGTTTTTTCGGATGAAATCTTGAGTTTCCGTTGCTTAGTTTAAATGAAACTTATACCAATAAAAGATAATTTTGGTGTCAATAGGTCAAAGTTCCGGGTCGTTCCAGTTATACATATTTTTTAAACAAATGCCTTACGTATACATTCTTTGGCCTCTCGTGTTTGATTATAATTACACTTACACTGAAAGATGCTTATTACTCAGAGGGTCAATAAATGAACGTTCAAGGTGTCTGCTACTAAAACAAATTGGAAGGGGAGGGGAGGATGGTTTCCGGATGATAACGTGAGTTCCTTTGTATGTTAAAAAAAAAAAATTCTAAAAATTAAGCTATGGAGAAGTGGGGGATCCTATCGGTTTAAGGTAAAAAATCAAGGTCTTAGTAACTAACAAAGGTAGGAAATAATGAAAATATGAGGTGCAGTTATTGTTTCTTTGTGATTTTTTCAGTTCCACTTGTACAACTTTAATGAAACTTGTACAAGAGGTAGGTAATACGAAAATGATAAAAAAAAAATTATGTTGGTTTTTGGTCAAAAGATAACGGTCCCCATTACAAAAAATATACAGCTATACATTGTATTGAGGTTGAAAATTGGCTTTTTGCAGACCTTTAGAAACTGAGAGTAGACATTGACTTCGGTCATAAAACCACGTAAGCGACACAGGTTTTTGTAGAGACTAGAAAATAATACACCATGGAATCTGATGTAAGTTATGGGCAATAAAAATAATCCTATCTCAAATACTAATCAAATTTAAAGTCATGTGACCTATGTTTGTTAACTTCTACGTCATTATGTCTCTGTTGGAGAGTTGTCTCATTGACAATCATACCATATATTCTAATTTTTATAATTAGTACATTATAATTAAAATATCTATTTTAGCTACAACACAACGACCATCTACGTTAAGTGTCACCTCAGCCATAAATATGCGTTCGACAAAACCATCAGCACCTGTATCAACAGTAAACCCAACTGGAACAACTAGTCAATATATAAAAGTTATAGATGTAGGATCATCGACAACAAGTGCTTCTTCTGTTACAGAATCAGCGACGATGAAAAGGACACCCCCACCATCCCCACCAACTAAATCACAAACAACAGTGCAGGCACAGTCGACAACAAAACAACAGGTGTCTGGATTACCACCAACTCGGAATGGTTTGACCTCTGCAATTCCAAACAATGTTCAAGTGAAAACTTCAACATTTTCTCCGTCTAATAGTCCTTTCAAAATGAACAATTCTACTGTTATACTGCATACAACTTCAACAACTAAATCAATGGTTTCTGGCTCACCAACATCTCTGAATGGTTTCAATTTGACAACCGGAAAGCAGACGATTCAACACAATGTTAAAACAAAAACTTCAACACTTTCCCCGTTTAATAGTCCAACCAAGATGGATTCCAGTGTAACAACGCAAGTGAAACGAACCCCTGGCAATATAAAGCATGATCCTGAACCTAACAAACTTTATGCCGGCAGTTTAGGTGGAAAGTTTACTATTTTGTCTGAAGCTTCGAGGCTGCATGTGTCTATTTCTGCTGTGATATCTTCAATAGTATGCGGGTTATTTTTAGTATTGCGTTAAGGATGAACAGATGTTTGTTGTTGGTAATTTAAGTCAAATATTAGAACATATAATTTTTAGAAAAATTTGACAAATCATACATTTTTAGTGCCTTGATGAAAACATGAAAGATGTATTTGTAAATTATTTGTTCTGTGAATATGAGGTTACTCTTATGTCTGAAAAATTATAAAACGTTCCCTTTTTCATTCTCAGATTTCATTGTTAATTCATGTGCTTATGATATTACAATATTACATTATCAATTACAAAAGGAACGAAAACAACTTTCAAAATTTAAGTTTCGTAAAAGACTTGACAGTCTTTCAGATATTAGGAAACATGTCTAACAATGTATTTATTTCATCTTCGTCGAAGACTGTATTTATATGATTTTTACTATCGCAAACAGTTAATCTAACTCATTGTTTGGAAATGTGTTATTTCTATTTCAAAGCTAACTTGGGGTGAAAATGTATCTCATTGGAAAGTAATAATTTAATTATATAATTAATTAATTAGGTAAGTTTTATCATAACATTATAAATTTCCATCATTGAACTAATATTTGCTGTGCAATGCTTTTTTTTACAATAAAATGAAACTCTGAGCAATTATTGGGACTATTTATTATGCAGTCAAATTGGCACCGTTAATGTAATTTCTACTACTGGGTCGTTTCCTGTTAGTCCTCGAGGTTATCAGTAGCCAGTACTTCGGTACTGCGTAAAAATGCGAATATTGTTTGATTGAAATTTCTTGTAATAAAATGTTGTAAATCATTTAAATCAAGGAATATTTCTCCCTCATGCAAAGCTTTGATTCCTTGTCCAGATTTGGCTATACTTTAGGTCTTTTTTGGTTTGATCAGTGCTTCGAAGTTTTTATTAGGTTTCGGATTTGCAATAATGTCGTCACTGAAGAGAAAAAACTTTTTGTCGAAATGTGCATCTGATGCAGTAACATTGGTACCGTTAATATTCGTAAATTCTGTGTTGTACTGGTTGATTTTACCTTTAATACCACAAAAAATATAGCATACGATTTTCGTTTATTTCATGAAGATGCAATGGATCGATATAGTATAACTGCAATTTATACCACTAGACTATGGTTTGAGTTCTCTATGATGTAAAAATGCTACTGGATACCAATTTATAGTCTTATTTGCCAAATTGCTTAAGAACAGATTTAGTTTTTAGTTGTAAATAAGGTCGCCTTACAGGAGAAAATCAAGAATATTGTGTGTAGGGCATAAAGTTTAAAGATAATAATAAGAAAGAATCAATTTTTTAGATGAAAATAATTTGTAATTAATTCAAATTTTGCGGAAATCGTTTTTTTCCTATCACAGATACCAGGCCTATAATTAGGTATGCCGGACGCGCATGAAAATAATTAAAATAGATAAAAACTTTCTAAAAAGATGTTTGCAACATGACAAACCCCAAGTTATTAAGCCAAGTTCAGTCCTTCTGTATATTTAAGATTTATCAACAGTGATAAATTCTGAACTGTTAACTAGACACTTCTTGAGCCGTATTTTTTTTAAGATTTGTTCAGCTTATTTTCAGACGGGACAGTAGCTGTCATTAACCTGTAAAAACAACAAACACTAAATTGTCTGAAAAGATTCTGAACATGTTTTAAATGACAGCAATCGAAATGTCTGACCAGTACTATACAATAAAAAAAAATGAAAGGTACCTTTACTTCTAAACTTTAAGTTCAGACATTTTTACAAGATGATGATAAGATCAAAACGACGAATTAAGACTTCAAATTCATTCACTAGTGTTCGGTACACCAAATAAGCCGTTAGATTATCTGATTATTAAAGTGAATATGCGGGATCTACGACAAGGTTATATTGTCTCTAATGAGTTGGCAAATTATGACACTTTTAAAAACAAAAACGACTACCAAATCAAGGATGGTGGCTGTTTTTTCGTTCAACTGATGCAAATATCACATTCCCAGGTTACAACATTTTTCAAGTGTTAAAAGAGTGCACAGCCATCATAGAATATAACTTGTTTTGGCCCTTTCATGTATTTTTGTATATGATATGGCCAGAAAAATCTGTATATCGGATGAAGTCATTTTTAGAAAGAAAAAAACGAAAATTACAGTAGTTGTTCCAATATCAAAGATTTTCCTTATTTCGTAAAGTGATCAGTGGCATTGGTTTGGATATCAAATGTTATCTTTTCAGTTCATTGATCTTATTTCCCTACCCTTACACAATACGTACAAATAAACACTATATAAATTAGTTGCGTCCAAAGCACTTTTCTGGATTTATCTTTTCAACCTGAACACTTAAAAAACTTAATGACAGAAAAGGACCGACAATTAACAGCCAAGTTCATCTAAGGTCAACTTTGCCTGAGGGGGTTGAAACCTTATACTTTTTGATATTTTTAACTGAGAATTTTAGAAGGGTTTGTTATAAAAAGGTCAGTACCGAAGCACTGACTGCTGAGCTGATGATATATTCGAGGACTTATAGTCCACCAGCAGAGGTATACAGGGTGATATCAAGTTGAAATTAAACAAAAGAAATGGAACTCTTTATTAAAGAATGTAAAAATTACTAAGTTTGAGTATTTAAATGTTTACATCTGTTTCTATGGGCTTTAAAAGTATGATGTAGGTGATAATTTAGGATTTTTTGCATCTTTTATGCGTGTTTATACTGAAATGATAGTATGGAGCTACGAGATATTTGTAAACTTTTAAATGAAAGACAAATTTTCACAAAACAGTTGATTATGGTAGGTGCAAATACATGTGGATCTTTTTGTGCATAAACATAAATTCCGCCGGAAAAATTCCATAGAAAGATAAAAGATTTATCTTTTAAAGGCATTAATTTGCATCTCTTCCCCAGGCATCATTTTTTTTTGGAGGGGGGGGGGGGATCCTAAAAACGGGCAATGATCTCTTCGATAAGAGAAAGTCGAGTACCCCTTTTTATGTTCAGACGTGTTTGAGTTGACTGTTTTGTCTTGAAACCGTATATAGCAAAAATATTTGATACAGCATCTCGCTTTAGATTTTATTAGTTTTATATATTAAGGTTACATCTTGATATAATAACATTAAAAATTCTCAGTATCAAACAGTGAAAAATATATGGGTAAAGTGAAATACCTTTCTAGCGAGTCATATGTGTTTGAATAACAAATTTTTACTAAAAGCACTTGATGACAAATTTTACTTCTGGATCTTGTCCGTGCATAACTTTTTCATTTTTTTGTGTGTGTTTTCTAGGGGAATTAGTCTTAACCTCTGACATTTTTTAGTCTGCCCTACCATGAAATATTTAATTGGAATTCTATTTAGTGTTTTTTTAACTTTCGAAATTCCCAAGGACAACCAAACAGACAAAAGTTTTAAGTTGACAAAAGGCTTAAAGGTACATTAAATGATGCAAAATAGCTAATAGATACATTATTTGTCTTTTTAAAATACAACTGTCTTCAAAGGATTGTAATAATGCTATGTGGATAAATTTATCGGTTTTTAAAAACTATATTGACAGCAAGTCAACCCTACAAAGGCTTTCATTTTCATGATTGAAAAGTTAGATGGTGTAATGGAAAACTCTTGACGAAGTAGAATCGACCCACTGTTAGTAAATGAAAATAATAACAATGTAGTCGGCATGGTCATATAATTGTGTATTGTGGAAAACTGCATACAAGATGGAATCCAACTCGCTTGAAATTTACATATTTTATTAGCATCCGTATATTTAAATGATCAACACCATAAATTAATAATAAACATACAAAAAAGTGAAATACAAAATTCAAGATTGTCAAATATAAGTGATCCAATGAAATACAGTATAACAAAAACATAAAGATGCCAGTTCTTCTTGACCAAAGCGGGGATTACATTAGAATTAAAGTAAGTCAAAAGGAGTTTCAGAAAGTTTCTTTTAAGTGACTAATATTTCTTTTGAGAGTTTATTTTTTCCCCCGCAATATTTTAATGTAAAAAAGGGCGAAAAATAAATGTAGCTATAAGCCTTAAAACAAAATTCCTTAGACACATGTCAATGAAATCCTGTCCGAAGAAATATTTTATAAAACAAATCCAAAAACATAATTTCACGAAGAACTTCTTTCCTTTAGAGATTTATTCAATTCGTAATGACGCTCTTAGAATGACAAAAAATTATAGGATCTCTTTTGGTTTTAAATAAATCGTCAATCTTTATCAATACTAGTCTGTTATAGAAAAGACAAATAAACACATTCAAAATTGTGCCCATCATTTTATTTTCTTTGTCAAATTTCACATTCGGTCAAGTGTAAGGGTTAACGAATTTGGTGGTGTCTAAGGTTTATATACGTGTCAATTGCCAATCCGCTATTGTGAGGTGCCTAATCACAGGAATCACTTGATATAGTATGTGATCACTTATCAACGTATTCAAAGGAGTAACACGACGAACGTCATATGATCTCTTTAAGAGCAGATTCTGCTAACCCTTCCACAGCACATTAGATCAACCCGGGTTTTTGATTTTTTTTTTTTTTTAGTGTTGCTCATTTTATAATTTTCTATGATGTGTTTTTTTAACATGAATGTCTTTTCGTCGTTTTTCGTATTTCGCTCTAGCTTTGTCAGTTTCTCTTAGATTTATGCCTTTTGAAAGTCCCCCTTGGAATCTTCCGCCCTTATTTCGTAAAAAAAACATCCTCTATCAAGAAAAATCATAATACGATACACAAGCACTGGAATATCGTATAAAGCGGGGATGTATACTCCATATACAGGCGATGCTGGAATGTTGCTATACATACGAATTGAAAGTTCACAACTGGAAAACATTAATCATCTTATATGTTGTAAAGTTTTGTTTTCAACCAACTCTCTTTTCATTTGATTATTAGACATAAGTCAATATGTTAGGCAGCTTTAAATGTGTCTGTGGTATCGTGATATTAGATTCATGCGACGGAAAAAAATAAAAAGAGGCGAAAAGATTGTGCGAACATTTTTCTTTGAGTGCGTTAACGTCAAAGGAGTGCTAAATATCAATAATATTTTAGGCAGTAACATGAAAATTTTACACTTATATGAAAGAAAAAGTTTGTTTTTAAAGAACAGCCAAAATTAATTCAATCGTATCCTACTTTACAGGTTTTTTTTTTTACGAAATACATGTAAATAATATGGATATAAAAATGTGTATTGTTGATACATTTGTATTCATAGAACATACATAACTAGTGGGAAAAGAAAGTTAACAGATATAAATCTATGAAAATATACACCGTAATTTACTAGTCATGCTAATGTAATACAAATGTATGTCGAAAAATATTAATAACTTTAAATTAATCTGAATATTGAAAACATATGATGCATCCTACTTTGTTCAAACTTCTTTGTCGGTCCCGAATTTGTGAAAGGAGATATCAAATACTAGTAATCAAATACATTATATGAACAAACCTTTATACAATATACACGGTAGATGTCAGAAGTTCGTTTTTTTTTTTTTTTTTTTTTTTTTTATTTTTCATTATGAAAAGGGTGAAATTACATAATACAGTATAAGACACAAATTATAAAAATTAAGTAATACATGTAAGATTTAATAAGTTATAAATGCTTGATAAATGAATTAGGTATTGACAATTCACTTGGAAACTCAACATATACCCCAACGACACTTACCAAAGAGGAAATTATGGATAATCATAGGTCTGTTCTATGTTTCTTTGGAATCTGGATCTTCCATCACTATATTGGATACAAACAACGTTATATTGCTGGGTCTTCCAAGTGATCCACGAAACCTCTTTCTAAATTATTAACATCAATGTTATCAGCAATCAAAGCCGGGCTTCAAAGTTATTGTGAAACTACCTATTCTAGAGGTGGTGTGAATCAGATGTGGATACTAAAAAATTCCAAAGATCTTTTAGAGTACATACAATCTAAGACACTTTCATCTTGCAATAGTATTAAAACAATTGACTTTTCTACACTTTACACAAGTATTCCCCATTCCAAACTAAAAGACAAATTGAAAGACTTGTTCATGCTTTGTTTCATAAAAAAGAATGGCCGACGTAGATACAAGTATCTTGTCTTATGGAGAGATAAATCCTACTTTGTAAAAAATCACACTGATTCAAACAAAAAAATTCTCTGAAACTGATATTATCAAGATGCTTAATTTCTTGATTGACAACATATTTGTTACGGTCGGACGATGTGTCTTTCAACAAACAATCGGCATTCCCATAGGAACCAACTGTGCCCCTGTTCTCGCGACTTGTTCCTTTATTCATATGAGGCTGACTTCATACAGGAACTTCTTAGGAAGACAGGAAAGAAGTTATCCTTTAACTTCACTTTCTGCTATATAGATGATGTTCTCGCACTAAATAATTCAAAATTGGTGACTAATTTGAACGCATCTATCCCATCGAACATTAGATACAGAATACAACTGATACAGTTAAGTATGTCTCATATCTTGACTTACGTCTAGAAATTAACAATGAGGGTCGGTTCAAAACTAAGCTTTACGACAAAAGATATGATTTCAGCTTCCCAATTGTGAACTTTCCATTTCTATGTAGCAACATTCGAGCAGCGCCTGCTTACGGAGTATATATCTCCCAGTTAATACAATATTCCAGGGCTTGTATTTCCTATCATGATTTCTTTGATAGAAGGTTGCTGCTCACAAGGAAGCTATTAAACCAAGAGTTCCAGCAGGTGAAGTTGCTTGACCGTTATGTAATATCCGTTTCACAGATGCTAACGGATATGTTCCAAATGTCGTAACTACAATCCCGTCCCCTTTTCCCAGAATGTGACCTACCAAATTAGACTTATTACCGGATTTGTACTAACATGAGCAAAACGACGGGTGCTACATGTGGAGCAGGATCTGCTTACCCTTCCGGAGCACCTGAGATCACCCCCAGTTTTTGGTGGAGTTTGTGTTGCACATTCTTTAGTTTTCTATGTTGTGTTTTATGTAATATTGTTTGTCTGTTGGTTTTTTGGCTTTTTAGCCATGGCGTCGTCCGTTTATTTTCAACTTATGAGTTTGAATTTCCCTTTGGTAGCTTTCACCTTTCTTTTATAAAGATATTAGAAAGTACATTGCAATTGATTTGGTTAATCAAATGCTGCTTCTAACAATTGCAACTTCTGATCTCTTTTTAACTTTTTGTGCAGGGGTTAAAAACAGACAGAATATTTCTCTTTACTTATCCAATATTTCAAATATTCTATCCCACCATATTTTGTGAGCAATATGTTCTTATGTCTTCAGTTGTATATATAGTATTTAAAAAGCCACACAATATTATTAACTGTTTTACTGTTTATAAAATCCTCAGACACACCTAAAATTACGTATTTTGCGCTAAAAGGCAAGAAAATGCCATAAATTCTAATCCAGTATATCATGGATAGCCAAAAATGTGAAAAATGTTATTGCTAAGATCTGAACAAAAAGTACATAGTTCAGTTTCTTTTAATTTGCATTTAAATAAAAATGAATTACATGATGGAATTCTATGACTTTTTTCCATTCATTACGGGAAGATAAAACCAATACTTGATTATCTTCCTAAAATAATTAATGAAAAAATGTTTACAGTATTTTGGTTCTTTTTTTAACTTTATCTACCAATTTACTTTCAATAGTGTCCAGAAGTTTCATTAAATGTATTATTATTACTGAACACTGATTATTTTTGTGCATAACCAACCTACATGAAATAAAATGAATTATTAGTGAGGAACAACGTATGCTTAATAACAATAAATGCATGTATAAGGAGTTCCAAAATAAAACACAGATTGTCATATTTGTATCGAAAAAGAGTATATATGTACATATTTATCTGCGTTGAAGTTAAACACAACAGAGTGAAATGAGATATCTGTACTCTATGAAATAATTCCTCCTACTATGACGATCGACATTAGAACAACAGTACAAAGGGCAGTTATTGTCGATAAAAGAATGAAGAAGAACCAATCCATTACGGCAGCTATTTCGGTCCAAGCAAAAAGATAATCCTCTGGAAAATCTTCGTTGTTCTTTTGATAATCAATATCTACATAAGCTTCAGAGGGATCTGTATTTGGTCCAACTTTTCCATTTGCATTCTTCTTTCCGCGGCTGCAACAACAACCCCTCCAGCATGATAAGGGAATACACATCTTTAGCATCAGAACATTTATTCTTTGTGGGACAGGAATATTAGGGCTTCTATGATGCACTCTAATTACCAGAACAGTCAGGATAACACACAATACACCAAGTACCAGGGTCATGGCCAAATATACAGCTGAAAAAATAAACTATTAACTCAGTTATCCTACCTATATCGACTACAAGGCGGAGGATATTAGTAAGACTTAGAATTGGTTGAAAATGCTTTGGGTTTATATACAATATGTAAATTGATATTCAGTAAAATTGTTTACTTTCTCATGTGTAGATTTCATAACCTCTCAAACATACGTGAATTTGATGCTAGAAGCTATCTTCATTTGTTTTTGTAATGTTTAAGCTTGTTATTTCAACTTTGGAGCATGAAAGGTGATGACGGGGTGGACCAGGGGACGTGGGTTTTGACCCCCGCCCTGTTAGTTTTACAAAATTGTGCTCGAGTACATTTTCCTAACTTTTTATTGCCTGGTCCCCTTTTGAAAATCCAGATCCTATTAAATTTCAAAACAAATTATCAGTATTCTGTTCATATCAAGGGCAACTGACATCATGAAAATAAATATAATAGAGTTATTGCCTGGATACCATGACTACAATATATTTCTTGAGATTCCATTTTCATACAAACAAATCCAAATCACATCTTTTTTCAATTCTACATAATTTATTACCACTTTTTTAGACATGGGGCGATTTGGAGCTTGACATTATGTGCAGATATTTGTTCAGATTTCAATTGTGTTTTTGTGTGCCTTTCGGTTGCTGTCACATTCACATATACCACACATCTCCTTTTATTCACATGAAACATCACAACGAACGTTCGTGTTAGTGCGGTTTAAATATTGATAACACACAAGCTATCTTGTCTGTTGATATCTCGACTTCAGCATGAAATGATTTGATCTGATATTCATTTGTGTAAAGACTTTTTAAACGTTTACTGACTGTATTATTTACTATGGAGTCCTGTCATACATCATATATGCTGTACGATTTACGCTAAACAAACTGCAAAGCATGCATGCAAAGCCAGTGTAAAGATTACTTTTATCTGGTTTAGTTAACGTATACAGATGTGCACTATTTTGTCCTATTACGAATACTTACAAAGGTATGATATGCTCTTAGACGATGATGGCATACTGTCTTGAACTAGTGTTAGTAGCACTGCTTCTGCAAGAAGAACCGTTAAAGTATATCCGACCTTTTCACCGCTGTCAACAGGAAGAATAAATACTAATATGCTGAGCACAGACGTTGCTAATATTGGCAAGATAGTGGATGAAATATAATGTGACGGATTACGTTTAATAATAATTGTAAAGTCAATGACGGAATATGATCTTTCAGTACCACCAGGCTTTACTTCTGTGAAATTTCTTGTCTCAACCTTGCTCGATTCGATAGTCCATTCCCCATTTGTCCTAAAAAAAGAATCAAATAGATATACTGCGTTCTGCACTTCATATAATTTGCGTTACAATAAATTGTATCGAAGCCTATTTCTTGATAAGTTGCAATTCAATGCCACAGGCGCTTGGGTGCAGGATTCGGATGATATTTATTCATTGTTTGCACATTTTTTTTAATCTTTATACCACAGATGAAAAAATTTTAAAAAAAGTATAATATCAATACTAACTTTGTTGAGTTTTAAGCAATTACAAATAGCTGGAAAAGTAAGATAGTTTGTAGTTCTAAATTGGACAATATTGAAAATAAATAGGTAATTAAAGTAAAGGAAACAACCAAAATCCTGTAAATTGTTTTATGAATAATTTTTGGAAGATAATTAAGTATTGGCTTTATCTTCCCGTAATAAATGGGAAATAGATTTGTCTTACTTATTTTCGGATAAAATCAACTCTGGTACATTCAATATAGAAATTATACACATTTGACAACATAATTGGAGTTTTTAACTTTAAAAAAACAAACAACTCAAGATCTTTCAGTTAGTTTTACAACTATAAACTACAGGAAAAACATTTCAGATACAACTACTATTATTTATCGATAATTAAAAATATACTGCTTTTCAGAGACGATAACTATTGGTCTTTCTTATTTTGTTGTATGAAAGTACATAATGGACAAAATGAATGGACACGATTTATTTATTTATGGACTTTTATATCGACGTAAAACTTCCTTGCTCTTTACAAATTTTGAAATAAGAATGAAATGTATTCTTATAGTGCCTTTGTCGGAATGGAAATTAGTTTTATAAGCATGCTTACATGCAAACATGCAAATATATTTAAACCCGCCATATTCTGTATCAGCCTGTTCCATGTCGGGAGTCTGTAATTCAGTAGTTGTCTTTTGTTGCTGTATATCATATTTGTTTTTCTTTTATTGTTTTGCACATACATCAGGCCTTAGTTTTCTCTTTTGAATTGCCTTACACACGATGGGTGTCGCATCTGGAGCAGGGTCTGCTTACCCTTCCTGAGCACCTGAGATCACACCCAGTTTTTGGTTGGGTTCGTGTTGCTCAGTCTTTAGTTTTCTATGTTGTGTTTTGTATAATGTTGTTTGTCTTTTTATAATTTTTTTGTTTTTCTGCCATGGTATCGTCTGTTTGTTTCGATTAGATTGAATATCCCTTTGGTATTTTTCGCCTGTCTTCTGTCTTTTGTGTCCTTTCATAGTTTGCTATGCGGAATGGGTTTTAATCATTGTTGAAGGCCATACGGTGACCTATAGTTGCTAACCTTCTACGTCATTTGGTCTATGGTGGAGAGTTGTCTCATTGGGAATCATACCACATCTTCTTATAATCATATTTTTCATTTTCAGTCGAATATAAAATATATTATTTGGGTAATTTAGAGTCCATAATTGCCGTTGTTTTTTGTCCTTTTCAACCACAAACACTTCAATGAGAAATAATTATATTCAATTAATTTTTTCAGCTTATTTGAAACCAACCGTTTGGAAAAAATTTGATTACTGGTATTTGTAACAATAAAACGTATCAGAAAATTGGTATTTCGAGTGACGCATTACAGCTAATTTCTGTTTGTATAAGTTCTAAAGACAATATGAAAAGTAAAATTATAAAGAGTATGTGCTTCACTCAATAGGCGGTAAATCAGTTTATGAAAACTAAAATGTAATTTCAACCGTTTGAATGAACTGAATTGGATTGAAATTAATTTTGTTCTAGTTGTCTGACAATAGACCGGTATAGTTTTCAAACACTTCATGGGTAATAATCACTCAGCGCGACAGGGCCGACAAAAACAGACGTGTTTCACAGTTTAAAAATGTTATCTTGCTTGCTTGCTATATTTCATATATTATGATTTCAGTAGAATTTATAAATTACTGACTATATTTTATCGACATGATATTATGTATCATAATGTGCAATTGCACTCAGAAAACGGCACTGTCCTGTAGGTATTCAATTTGAAACTTTAGTTTAGTTTTTATTAGCCTTTTCGAGGTCATGGTAATGTGTATAGAGTTGTGTAGTCTATGGGCGTTAGTAATTGTAGAAGAATTACGTTGAATGTATAGTAAACGGGCTATTTCATAGATTTTGCAAACAACTTTGGATTGTTGAACAATAACTGAAATCGAAAAAAAAAATCATGCATTTGTCTTATTTGTTTTATTTTTCTGACATGTTTCTAAATCAATCCTTTCAAAAGAGATGCATATTTGTTGAAGTGAAAGCCCATAAAATCGGCTAAAATTTTCTATACTTTAACATTGTTACATTGATAAAATAAATCCTCAAGAGTCTCAATATAACTGTTATTTTCAATACATAAGTGACATTTTCCGTTTGACATATGCATTATTTGAAGTCTTTTTCGGTATATATTCTACTATATAGATATAAGAAGATGTGGTATGAGTGCCAATGAGACAACTCTCCATCCAAGTAAAAAGTAAACCATTATAGGTCAAAGTACGGCCCTCAACACGGAGCCTTGGCTCACACCGAACAGCAAGCTATAAAGGGCCCCAAAAATGACTAGTGTAAAACCATTCAAACAGGAAAACCAATGGTCTAATCTATATAAAAAACGAGAAACGAGAAACACTTATGAACCACATCAACAAACGACAACCACTGAACATCAGGATCCTGACTTAGGACAAGTGCAAACAAATATGTATACATTTCAATTGAAATTCTTTTACTGTTCTATCAATATCCATTTTACTGAGATTTAGCCAACTTTTTTCCTAATTCATGTACTCTATACAAATTTTTCAATTTAGTTTGACACTTAGGGGTTTCAGTTCTGTTTATGGTTGATTGAAGATATTTTAATGTCAAATCTTTAATTTTAACTAGAACAAACCCGTGTCATCACGAGTCCATGACTGAATTAAAGTATCTAATTAAGTCATGCTGATTATAAGATGCACGGTTTTCTCTGCTTTCAAAATTTTTCTGTTTGAACCCGTCGACCTGGAACTTAATAATTATTGGTAACATTAATTATTTGGAAAACAAAATGGCCTGGAATGGTGTCAACAACATTGTCCCATATTATTTATATATAAAGTTGAATTCTTTGATTCGGCGTTTTTACGTTATGCCGGCTAACAAATTGAAAACTGTACCTACGCCTTATTTTACGTCTGTATTTTTAGTATTCGTACTGTCACCTTATAAAGTCATGCTGATAAAAATACTACAACCGGAAACAATATGACAATGAGTAATGACGTGGTTTAGGTGTGATTATGACCCGTGTATATAGAAAATCCCAAATACACCGTTTGGTGGTGCGCCTGACAGATGCGGAATGTACAGATTAGGTAATAGTTAACAGGTGACATATACTATTGGTATCGGATTCGACCCGAAACTTGTTAATTTTTGGAAATATTAATTATGTGGAAAACAAAAGGGTGTAATTTTTAATCAACACCATTGTCCTATATTAGTTATAAATAAAGTTGAATTCTTTGATTCGTCGTTTTTACCCCATGCCGGCTGACAAATTGGACTTCGTTATTTTAGTATTATAGATGATTTTGTTATCTGGATTAAGAAATTCAAACTTTTCAGAAATTTTTATTTTGTGACTTTTTACAGTGCGTTGAACATCGTTATAAAGTGCTTGAACATCCTTGGAAAGTGCGTCGAATATCATTGAAAAACGTCCTTAAATCTATCTCCAATTACCGATGCATAATTTTTCTTTACAACTGATATGTTGTTTATACATAAATTTCCACTTTAGTGTTAAATAACAATAAGGTCACCGACTTCGTTTTTCCGGTATATATCACTGAAAGTGGTGTTCGAAGTGAAAATATACCACAAAAAGTCGAAATAAGCGTAAAAGCATCGCGTTGTGAGCCGTAAAACGTCGATTTTTATGTTTTTCAAAGCAAACTTGGCAACAGATTGGTTAATACACCAAAAATGAAGTAGGTGACCCTATGATTATTTGATATCAATCAAACGAAAATGTATGTATCAACAACGTTTACGTATCTCTTTTTAAGAAAAATCTCTGCATTTGTAATTGGAGATTTGATGATTTTGAGACAAATCTTGGAACGTTTCTTTCCGATTGTATGTGCCTTCTATACAATTTTAGCTATTTTGAAGGAATTATTCATTAGTAATATTACAGAAACTAAAAAAGATAAATCGATTACTTTCGATTTTCAGTTATAGCTCAACGAGCCAAGGTTGTATTCAAAATTTTAAAATAATCTGTGACATAGCTCATTTACTGTACTTTGCTTGAGTCATAAATAAATGTTCAAATATCTAAAACGGTTAATGTACGGGATATGTTTTAGTATAAACACCGTTATAATTGATACAGTCATATACAGTCATCAACAATACGGGAATATAGATGCTTATTAAAATCGCTAGCACATAAGGTTTTGAATACTACATAGTTTTTAACATATCTATGAGTGCTTCTTTTAACTAATAAAAAATAATACTCCATAAGACGTTTTTTTCTAGTAAAAAGTCTGTTCTACATTCTTCAGATTGTGTGTTTTACGAACTTGGTACGTCATATGACGACTAATATGACTAAAACGTACAGGTCAACTTTTCACCAGACTATACAAACCAAAAAATGCACAATTTACAACATGCAAGGTGAAATGGAAAAGTTTTTCCACCCGTCATATAAAGTAACACTTTAAAGCTGCTTGACAGCGTTATCTAGAGGGTCTAATTAAAAACATAATGTTAAGTAATATAAGGGTTATTTCTTTAGTTATTGGAAGAAATGGGTCCAGCTATCAAATTTGATTAAGTAACCACCAATGCATAATTAAAAGTAGAAACAAACCTCATTTCTTCATATTGTACTGTTTCGTACAAAGCTGTAACAACTAACTCATTAACACTATAAGCCCAACTGGTCAGCTCAACCAAACATGATTGTTTATCAAACGGGAAGAACTGGATGTCGATGTCACAATGTACAACGAAAATTCTTGGTAGCTCCCATTCAACTAAACCGGTGTTTTCTACTCGAAACTGGAGATATTGGTCATTCAAGATGGAAACATCGGCCAGACTGAAAAAATACAGAAATGAAATAAATAGGATTCCCATCATGAAAGGTGTTTTTTTAATGAAAAACTGAATTTACTAGTAATAATTTTTGATAAGATGAAAATAACTTATTTTGTTTTCGTAATTGAAAACATGGTGTTTTTAGAATCACATTTACGCGTCTTTTACAAGGAAATACGATAAACATTTAAACATTACATGTTGTATTCCGTTGTGGTACAATTGTAAAATGCTGTCAGAAGTCTAATGATATGGGTAATGCCCGTTATCATATGTAAACTTGTAAACAAATACTGATGGGTGTAGTCACAATCTGTCCATTATGTTTACACTTATTTAATTGGTTCATCCTACCACTGTTTACTGAACGTTACGGTTTTAAATCACTTTATAGCCAATTGTTCAAATGGTGATAGTTTAAAGAGATTCACCCCAACCTGGCCAGTGTATATGGACTTTATTTTAAAACATACTTTTTTTTTCTTAGAACGAACATTTTTTGACAGTCATTAACCTAGTTGTAATCCTGATCGGACGTCCCTTCTTTAGATGAGCTATCAGTATTGGATGACCAGATGACTCAAGCCTAGAAGTATTATATTTAGGTAATATAACACACACAACCCTCTAATAAAATCATTACAATACCAATAATGTAAAGGCAATCAAAAAATATCATAGATTGACAAAATGTAAAACATTTAAAAATAAAAAAAACAAAGGATTGATGTTTTGATACTAAAAACAATAACCAAAAAGCAAATATGGCACACAGCAACCAACGACAACCACTGATTACATATTCCTTGCTTTGGACAGGCACATAAAAAAGATAGGTTAAACATTTATGTGAGCACTCAATCCTCTACTTACCTGGACCATTGGTATAACAAAACAGCAACAGAACAACCTTTAAAAATCAATTGATATGGGGCCAGACTCATCACATCGATACTAAGTACCAAAAAAAATGACAACAAAAAACAAAAACTTACCTTAGATTACTCGCATTTACTGTAAGGTAGCTCAAAGCCTAGTTTCAACTACTGTATAGATGTAAAAACTCATAAAAAATACCAGGATTACAATTTGGTACGCTAAACACACGCTTTGTCTCCATCGGACTCATCAGTGGAAATAAGAAGATGTCGTATAATTGCCAATGAAACAAATACCCAACAGAGTCCTAATGACATCTATTAATGTTTTCCTCGACTAAAATGTCAATCTGGAAGCCTTTGAACGAATTTAGAATAAAGACGTTAGAAGCATGACCTTTTGCAATGTCATCATAAAAATTATAAGGATCGCCAGGATTCACATTTCTACTGTAAATAGTGTATAACTGTGTTCTTTGTGTTATCAAAATATGGAGTTAACACGTTTTGTACTGTTTGGTCATAAAAAATATTAGATAAGTTAATAAAATCAATGCCTCTGTTCATAGAGTTTATTTAAATAAAACGCCTTTTTTATCTTCAGTGTTATCAATATGGGGAGACAGCCTTCGGTAACAAAAATAACCTTGATGATACGTGTACAGTCATAGATTGGACGACTGAAAAACGATATTGCATCACACTCTAAAAATATTATATAATTTACTCTAATTTACATTTCACCCAGTCTGCTCAATAAGTGAGGCCTACCATTATTCTTAATTATAGATAAGAGATCCTTAAGTGTAAAATAGTTCGATGTGGAATTTGTATATTACGTTTAATACGTTTTACATTAAACCTATATTACGTTGGTTTTATCAACAATATGCATGATATCAATAGAGGAAATTTTAAGTAGTTTCCCTGTCCCATGATATTGTCATTTAGACCTAGAAAATATGTTTTATATAGTCTTATTGGACAGTAACTGTTTCGAGAGGCTAGAATATTATTAGATAAATATTGTTCTTGTGTTTGTCTAAGTGCAGGCAAAATCAAAACTTTGAACTTAAAGCAAAATACGGTATATGTCTAAACGTTTGGAAATTTGGTTTTTAAAGCATGTGGCTATTCATGTTTACTTTGACGACGTGGGTGTTGACCGTAACAAGTCTGCCCTTTGATTAATACTCATCATAGACACCAGGATAAAAAAAATGTGTACGCCAGAAGCGCGTTTCGTCTACAAAACACTCTCTCCAGTAAAATCAAATAACACAGCTCATGATATGAAGGTTGTTACGACTATACACAGGAAAAGTAGATTTATCATTTTAGTATATTGAAAGAAATGAAGTAGCTTTACTTTCAATAGAATTTTGAATTTTCTAGTGGTCCATAACAGCAGGTTTACAGCTTCAATATGTGTGCATTTCATGCAATTGCGTTAAAAACAGTGTAAGGAGCTGTTGACACAAAATCGCCGACCCGACCAACAGTACAAAACTTTATACTTAGTGCAACCCGACCAATAAAAAAGTCACCAGACCCACAAGAAACAGGACGGACCTTTGTTGTCGATTGACCAACATATGTTATGTGTGTCTCCAAGACATCCTCACGTATCCTTTCTTTTTTCGATTTTGCATGACAGACCAGAAAATGTTTTTAATACGTACGAATTGTCAACGAATAACTCTGGTTTCCATATCTCTGAATCGAACGCAAAATAAAATTCAGCATCATCCACTGCAGGGTCCCATACTAATCTTTCATCTTCCCACTCCTAAAAATTAGTGACATAAAATACTTGAAAAATAAGAAAATAAATGATTGTAATCTACTAAAACAACGGTACGTCAATTATACATTTGTACTGAAACTAAGCTTGAAACTTCCTCAGACAAGTTGACTATAGACGATAATGGTTGTTCTGATTAGGTCCTAAAAGTATAATAGTCTATACCGTTGCTGGCTAATATTATTTCAGACGTACATATAGTGCACACTGAATTGTACGTTTATGTATTACTATCGCTTGGTCGGCAACGCAAATTTCGAGTACTATTATTCATTTTTTGTGTGAGAAGGACATGCAAAACCTTAAACACAAAACCTGATAGAAGTTAGGGTATTAATTTTCAGATATCAATCAATTCGCTTTGATGTCAGGTGTCCATATAATATTTCTTTTTTTTTTCATCAGCTTTCCTGTTTTGACTTTGGGATTCTTATACAGAGGTAATTGGTCAAACAATTTAAAATATGCATATTTTAAGACAACCTTTAAAGATAACACTTATTCTATGCAGACTTTAATATACATAATGAGACGCTTTTAATATGTATAAATATATCTATACTACTAAAGTAACGAGGTCCAATTTGTTAGCCGGCATGACGTAAAAACGACGAATCAAAGAATTTAACTTTATATATAACTAATATAGGGGACAATGATGTTGATTAAAAATTACACCATTCCAGGTCCTTTTGTTTTCCACATAATTAATATTACCAAAAATAAACAAGTTCCGGGTCAAACCGATACCGATACCAATAGTATAAGTCACATGTATGTATGTTCTGTATCTCCCACCTTTAATAGGAGAACCACCATGGGTTATGGTGTAAAGGAGGACATTAAACACACTGTGTCGTTACAGATTTAATGTGAGCATTTGCCTATCCAGTTTCCAAGCCTGGCAGTAAGGCAGAAAGTTAATCTTCCGCAAAAACAATAAGTACAATGCAATAAAACATGCAGTTTCCGGTTGTAGTAAGAAAATCCGGACATGTTCAAACAGAAAGAAGATTTTGAAAGCAGAGAAAACTATGCACCTTTTAATCAGCATGATTTCATCAGATGACAATACAAATACTAAAAATCCAGGCTAAAAGTAAGGCGTAGGTACTTTAAGTCAGTCACGAACCCGTGATAACGCGGGTGTGTTCTAGTGGTTATATAAGTTGAAGGACTGCAATATAAAGAATATATATTTGAGGTCTAGAGTATATGGCAGTCCTTGTCAAATTTATTCATTCCTTTTTAGACTCGGTGTTATATAGAGCATGACATATTGTATCGACACCTGTCTGTTTGTTGACTTCCCTTGGTTGCTGTCTTCAATCTGTTCTCTATTCATTTTGTTATTGTTGCAATTTTGTGCTTTTGACTCTTTAAGGGTGTCGAATAATAATATGGTGCTTAAATATAAAGACGTACCATTGAAATCCATCCTGTTAATGACAACTGCAGATTTTTTATCTCCTGCAAATAGGCAATTTACAATGAATGAACATGAACATGAATGCAAAATACAAAAAAATCATAAGCCTGCTATCTTTGATGTGTTTTTACAACTACTAAGGTCGATGCCACTGATGGTTGACGTTTCGTCCCCGAGTTTATTACTAGCCCAATAGTCAGCACTTTCGCGTTGACATGAAATATAAAGTTAAGGAGATGTGATATGATTGCCAATGAGACAACTAGCCACCAAAGTTCAAATGAAGTGGGTGTTTGATATGCTCATTTTCTTAAAATTTACTGTATATAAAATGTTATTCGAAACACTTAAGATTTTTTACCCCAGGTACAGATTTACTTAGCCGTATTTTTCACAACTTTTCGGAATTTGTATTATTAAAGCTCTACAACTTCGTATTCAATTTGGCCTTCCAACTGTTGTAAAACGAGCACCACTGATGAGTCTTATGCAGACGAAACGCGCGTCTGTCGTACAAAATATAAGCTTGGTATATTTGATGAGTTGTTAGTTATTGACAGAGTGTTTTGGTTGTCTATAGTAATCCATTATTTTAGAGTTAAGTGTTTTTCCTAGCCTGGCTTTTATTGTATGTGTTTATGTACGTATTTAAACTAACATTTTACCACATTTGATCAGTATCTTGTTCTAAATATTCTAAAGAAGGATCAGTTTAGCCTACTAAGACAACAAATATGCTCAAATGTGTTTATTGCATTTTGGAAAATTTATGTACTTAAAAAATATTTCGGTGGCAGGTCCATTATATCAAAAGATTTATATAATTGGTTTCTACATATATAATACTGAACAGCATTTCATGCAATAGAACATGCATTAGATGCAAGTTAGAAGAAGGATGAGGGTTGAACGCTCACAAACATGTTTACAATGTACCATGCCATAACCTTTATTTGTCTGTCCCAAATCAGGAGCCTGCAATTCACTGGGGTTTTTTGGTCCATGTCCGTCTTATTTTTTTTTTCGTAAATTGTATTGTTATAAATTAGGGTGTTAGATTTCTCGTTTGAATTGTTTCACATTTTTCATGTCGGGGTATTTTATAGATGACTATACGGTATGGGTATTTTTTATTGTTGAAGGCCGTACGGTGACCTTTAAATGCTTATTTCTTCGTCCTTTGAACTCAGGTGGATAGTTGTCTCATTAGCAATCATACCATATCTCCTTATTTTTATATAAGTTGATTTGTTTTATTGCGATATGTGTAACTACAAATTTGCCGAAATTGTCAATCCGATGATTGTCTGCACTTCTGTGTTGACATGAATTTTCATTGATATGATGATTTTTTTTATATTAACTGTTTACAAAACTTTGAATTGTTCAAACCACTAAGGATTTTCTACCACTTGAATAGTTTACCTTAGCTGTATTTGGCAAACCCTTTCGGAATGTTGAGTCCTCAATGCTCTTCAACTTCGTGTTTTATTTGGTCGTTTAACTCTTTTAATTTGAGCGTCACTGATGAGTCGTTTGTAGACGAAACGCGCGTCTGGTGTACAAAACTATAAGCCTGGTATCTATGATGAGTTGTTTTTAGGGTCATATTTTTAAAAAAAAATTACTTTCCCGACAGTGTTTTTCTTACGTTCAACCCCTTATTTTTTTTAGAATATATTTTTTTTAATTAAAGTATTTCTCAATAGAGATTTCCAATAAAATGACATACGTACGTAACTCAACGTACGGACCTAATGGGACTGGTTATTGCCAACCATTGAATTTGATTAAATACGTCGCTCAAGTTTAAACAAAGCATTCCAAGACTTTTGAAATCAGAATTTTCGTCCAAATAAAATAATTGTATCATGATGAAAAATGATAGAAATCTTGCATTTTTATTTATCGCGTGGTTCTCCAGATTCCCGCCTTTATTTTCACTGACATAAGATCACGTATAAACACACGTATCCCTAGGGTACCTATCATAAGATTGATTTGAGTTATCTTTCATGGTTTTAATTATGACAATTATTTTTCAATACACTTTAATTTGCAGAAAAACGCTCCATTATTCTATATTTTACATGCTTATTTTTTCGTTATCCGATGTCTTTCTTTCTTTTTTTCTTTGTCTATCGTCTTATTATAATGGTTTTGGGTAAAGCATCTTTTAGAAGGATATTTTTCTGACAATTCCAGAAATATCGAAATCAGTACGTATTTGTCAGAACTTTAAAAAGAGTTGAAAATTGAGATAAAACTATCGCTTCCATTTAATTTCTAAACATTTTTCATTTATTATTAAATGCATTGATAAAAAATTCCCTAGCTATATAGGTTTATTTTAGAAAGTGTGCTCGATTGAGGATTGTTCTGTGTTGTTTTGTTTAACGGGAATGATATCGGAGTACAAATACAAGACATATCCAGGCAAAATATTTTACATCCCTTGAAGTAAATTAACTTATAGTATTTTATCCATTTTATTGGTAAACAATCTATAGGGGGTCACCGAGTTTGTTCTACTGCATAAATCATTAACGGGAATGTGTAAGGTAAGAAACATAGAACATCAGATGATAATATGATATTAGATGTGGATCCAGGATTTTGAAAGTGGGAACTAGGCAACGTCAGGAGTGGAACATGCCCCCTCCCCTTCAAATCCGTCTTAGGATGCGGTATGCAGTCAAAATAGCACGTTTTGTTTTTTTCTTTTCGATGTTGTATTCCCAATGCAGTGGAGAAGATGACTATTTTGCGCAACACTAAAATAAAAGTATTAACGGAATGTAGGGCCATATATATACGTGTTCGTTTCATATGTATTTTGCGTATGCATATTTAGGACGAGAAGTAAATATGAACCCGACTTTGTATTGTACCGCAGGAAGACATGTCACCCTACCCGGACACATGATTCGACTCCGGACCGACCAATCTTTGCTCTTACTCCTAAATATTGCATGATTGGCAGAGAGGCAGCCAATCTTTGATTTGAACCGGGCGAGGTCATTGACAAGACCTCCCAAACTCGAGCAGTGGTGTAGCTTCTAATGACGCAATGAGGCAACCGCCTCACCAGTTTTTTACCATTAGAAAAGAGAGATAAAGAGAAAATATTTTCCGTGTATTTCATAATATAGAGATCAGAGTGACGACGGTTCAAAACGTTGACTGCTTTACTCTTTACTCACTCATTCCTCATTATTAACATCTTGAAAAAAATATACTTCAAACTTTCTTTCACAAAATGAACAAGGTAGATGCAAATATCTTTTTGAAGAAACAGACAAAGTATACTTTGTAAAAAACTTATTCAAACAAGAGTTCATAACTGTGAAACTGACATGATGCTTGATTTTGTCTTGACAACGAACTTGTTACTTTGGGTGGACGTAGTTTTCACTTGTAGACACTTGGCATTCCTACATTGTTTGTAGTCCTCTTCCTACTGACATGTACCTTGGTTAATATAAGCAAGACTTTATAGTTCACCCAGTTATTATATTCCGTGCATTTTAACAAAAGCTAGACATATAAAGCTAAAAGACAAAGTAAACTTTAATATCCCAAAATCTGTACAAAAGCATTTTAAAGGTGATACATATAATTCTGTCAGTTCTTTTTGTTATGATCAGGACCTGTCTCTAATTGAATACTGAGAATTAAATTTTTAACCAGCAGTTTCATGAAATGTATTGATTAATGCGCCCTAGAAATATAAGTATTTCATGATAAAATTCCATAAATCTGGATTTTTCATAGACAGGATCTTTGTGCCAGTATGTGACCTATCAAGAGTATGGTCAGCATACCCCCCACCACTGGGGGTGGTTCCTTGTCGTTGCGGGTTGTACCAGTATGTACTATGTACTCTATACACGACTCTATTCAACAGTATAACATGCTTAAAAGAGTCGTCCGTTTGGTTGTCAGGGATGTATATATACACAGCCACGTCCAATAGGAATGGGGGCGTTCAATCAAATCTAGTGTGGGTGCGTACATTAGCTCTACACGGTACAGAAACAGGGATACATAGGGGTCCTGTTGCAAGCCAAAATGTCTGTCCCTATGCAACATGCTCTCTTTTTCCAGGTACAATTGAAATTTGTGCTGTTATCATGGTCGACCCAGTTTACATATCTATTGGATTGTTTTGTTTTACTTGTCCTGAATATGCATGCAGTTTTCGTCTCTTAATGTCCGGCAACAACAACAATCAATCAATAAAACCTATTTGAAATTATGATTTTTTTTTGCATTTGTAAATGCTGAAAACTGTTTTGCGATTCAGATTTTCAATTAACCGTCCACTCCCTGTTGACATTGACGTCTTTTAACCAAGTTGAGGCTTTGACTGCCAAGATTCAAATCATTCGCTTCACTAGAAATAGAATTCAAGTTACGCTACTGTCGATTGATTGAAAGTTGGTTGCTTAACGTACAGTGGCAAATATTTCATATAAATAAGAAGAGTGCCAATGAGACAACTCTCCATCCAAGTCACAATGTATAAAAAGTTAACAATTATAGGTCAAAGTACGGCCTTCAACACGGAGCCTTGGCTCACACCGAACAGCAAGCTATAAAGGGCCCCAAAATGACTAGTGTAAAACAATTCAAACAGGAAAACCAAAGGTATAATATATATAAAAAACGAAATGCATAGTTAACATTCAGAGAACGTGGCATTCTCTCTAAAAGAGGCATCGCATTTAACGTCCCTACTCAGACCGGACGTGACTGCGTACTTATACACCCCGCAGGGCCAAACGGATGCCCCACTTTGGCTATGGTTTTAATGTCGGGCGGAACAGGACCAATAGTGACCATATTTCTATTCCCCTGTCACCCTTGGGGCGCATCTGTCGAGGCGATCTCGCTACCACAAGACCAAAGAAGCGGTTATGAATATGGAAGATACATATACATGTACATGTGTAATAAAAACATTTGCAACAGAATGTGTGGCCGTAAGACACCGTGCACCTTCACATGGTCACATTTTCATGTTCAGTGAACCACTTAATCCGGGTCAAACTCTAATTTGGTATATAATTTTTAAGACGTTTTATATTTTGGACGGGACGGAAGAACGGACGGACGCACAGACCAGTTTATATGATATCGCCTTTCTATCAATATTATAAGTTGGTCATAAAACTAAAATGATCATCCTACTTAGCGAAACTCCAATCAAATATTCCGTACATGTCCGTTTTTCATACGTATTTGCATAAGTTAAACGCCAAACATTTATCAAAAACAATTTGTGAATGATGTTAAATTACGCATACGTTTGCACAGACTTGCATCATTACAACTAAAGACAAGAAGTTAAAAAGTAACTGATTTATTGAAGTGCAATCATTTTTTTGTCTTAAAGATGCATCCTCATTAATTCAATTTGATAACATTCTACGGAAAGGTGACTATAAGATAGATGCATCCGTGATCTGAATTTCTACCACTGAGTAAGTATCTTGAAATAGATCATAGAAGTATGCTAAAAAAAGAAGCAAGTCGTGTTCACCTTTTACATTGTGGCGTGTTTGAAACTCTTGTTTTAATCTTATAACTTATATATCAAAATGAAAATATCATCTAGCTTCAGATTCCATTATTTTTTTTTTTTTTCTAACTTTTAATTTGATTTATTAGCTTTAAGAATTCTCCGTTTGAGAAATAAATATATGGGTCAAGTGAAATGACGAAGTAATGATCGGTGCATTTGATTACCGGTAACTGAATTTATTATTCCCTTAAAAGGTTGTTGTCAATAAAGTCATCCCGAATTTGATAACAAAATATGTAAAGAATTAAAATAGCAGATTGTGCTAATTTTTAAATAGCATCCATTTCAACAAAGTATGTGTATTCAACGAGCCAAAAAATCATGTAGTATATGCTCCCCTCCGTCATCCTTCAATGCAATAGGCCGATATATGGTCAGATAGGTTGGTTATGTCGAGTAATGTCATTTTATTGGAAATCTCTAATATGACAATACAGAACTTTCAAAGTACAACGATTTTGTTTTGATTTTTTTTTTTCAATTCGATCAAATTTAGCCGACAACCGTTTAATTTATAGGGGTTTCATGAAGTGGAGAACTTTTCTCGGAAGGAATACTAATTTTCACTAGTTGCTAGGCAGGCTTACTTATTTCACAAAAATATGTATGATTTTGCACACTATAAATCCTGCATTTTGTTAGGCAGAATGTTCATTTTCATTTTGTTTTGAGCGATAAATTCTCTCTTATTTCTTTCTGTCTCTACAATTTCAGCTATTTTTATAATTAAATTAACAGAGAGTGATGACGTCAGCTATTAATACCATGCAATTTACAAATAATCTTTTATTTCGTAGCATTTTAAATATGAACGTGTAATTCCTTTATTCCATCATCTTAAAGGGGCATTAGCTACGAGATATGAAAAAAAAATAGAATATGATTTTTTTTTGGTCAATCATTAATGAAAGTGAAATGGTGAAATAATAATTCGCTTTTAGCAGCCAGGTTTGTCCAATTTGGTCAAAATAAGCTAAGAAACACTGCTGGTGAATTATTCACTTGCAAGTGAATAATTCTACCTCATTAAATCCGTATACATGTGACCCTTAGCTAGAGATTTGTTACGTACAAACTATGCGTGTTCAGCTATTAAAAGGAAAATAATCATAATGTCAACATTGAAAGTGAAACAAGGGTAAACCATTTGGTTGACTTATTCGATCCACAAAATTTCATTCTTATAGAGGTAAAAACGATGATTCACATATTTTTTAACCTTTAATATGAAATCAAATAGAAAAATCCAATTGCACGTGTTCGCTATTTATTTATTTCTATATTTTTGTTGATATCGGGTTATATGACCGTCGGCAGTCTTCGGTGGTCACCTAGATGACGTCTAGACTAAAATACACACGACATGCTGGTGCATATTATCGAGTCCGTGCATCGTAAATTGTTTATTTTAAACTTTTTATAATTTGGATATTCCTTATAGTATATAATAAATCAAATATGAGAATTTGAATCAAATTGGTGAACATGAATTTGACAGCTTTAAGTTATCAAATAAATTCAAACATTTCAGGGGTAATGATAATTACCAAAAAGTTGATTGTGAGCAAGTGAAGTCCTATCTGCAGGTTGACAGTCTCGTCTGGTCTAACAAGGCGGTCGTAGCCGGCAGCTTTAACGGTTTTTGTTCTAGCGCTACCCTCACCATCTGAAGTCCAGCTATTAGCTTGGTGCAAAACTTTAGAGAAAATAAAGAACGGATGTAAACATTTTTAAAAAGTTGATTTCTATTGACAATTTCAGTTGTGAGATTTAACGGTACTACTATGTTTCCTTACATTGACGTCTTGTATAAAGGCCATACAATTCTCACTAGATACTGTCGATTTATTTGATTTCATAATATAAAGATACTTGTGTATGTGGTCATGTATTCAAAACTTTAGATGAATTTAAAGATACGATTCAAGAGTGTGCGTTCGTTTTTACATTATGTACACTGGGTTCATTAAACCATTCATAAACTATACATACGTAAATTGGTCTATGAGTGCAATTACTAGCAAGCTGCATTGGATCAATTAATTCTGCATTTTAAAAGGTGAACAGATTTTAAAATTCCATTATTAGAAAGACATAAGGACAATTTTCCATTAAAATATTTCACGCAATGGCCATTTACAAAAATTTCTCCAATCTAAATAAATTCACAGTATGGCAGCTTCATATGTTTACTTTCAGGTTTTAACAACATATTAAGTATTTCTGTATATGTACCTCAATTGTATATGCCGTAAAATTGTTAAAAAATTGACAGTTTGGTATACATTGGCAACTTTTTATTAAATGTCACAAAAATGTCTCTCAGGTACAAATAAATTGCTGCTGGGTAAGTAATTTTATCGGAGAAAATTTTTACTTAAATATGATTGCGTTATTGCATCAAAATTTTCTTCAACAACAAGTTTTCTAGCTAATTTGTTCAAGGAATAGTGTATAGCATGGAACAACTTAGTGACTTATGGATAAGTGTTAATTGTATGAAGTCTTTATTTGTGTATTATGTGTAGTTAAATATATATAATGTGCATCACACTCTTGAAATTTATTCCAGTATGTTTTAGCAATTTTTAGTTTTCGACCTTGTGTCCCTACCTTTTAAAGGGAATGATTACGATTAAGACTGAATTTTATTTTATTTGATATTTATTTTGAGGGTCCTTTTGGTCATATCGTTTTTCATGTGTTTCAGTTCATTTATATGATCCATGTCTTTAAATATTTGGCTTTGAGCGTCCCTGGTGAAGCTTATTCCAGAAAAGCGCGCTGAACGCAGCAAATTTATAAATTGTTATTTTATTTTTTATTTTATTTTTTTTCAACGTAGAACAAATTGAACATATCCGTGTATATGATAAATGAATACAGATATTTTTTGGAATAAATGTACTGATTAAAGATAGAATCATTTCTCATTCATAAAAGGATAAGAGCTGCTTCATATTTGATAAAAAAAAATCGTTACACAATAACCCTAACAATAATGTCATTATGTGAGAATTTTAACTGAAATAATCCTTAGTAAACATGAATTTTCTCTATGTGTATTTTAGTGCCAAAAAGGCTTTTGTCACATTTGATATCTTCTAGCAGTACACTTTTTCCTGCCTTCTATAAAATAGAAAAAGCAGCCATAATAATTGTAAGGATTTTTTAAGATTGATGGAATTAACATTAAATATGACATTCAAGTTTTTTAGCATTTAAAACTTAGATTGGAAATTTACATTAACTTACATAATGTTACTTTTACTGCGACCTAAATCTAATTAGAAAAAAGTAAAATTACAAAAGAAATCCTTTAGTTTGTCCTTTTATGCGTAGTGTATATCTCTTATATGTGTATGGACAATACTTTACAGCTTAAGGGATCAGCATACAATTTTCAACTACAGACAGATGTCATATATGATGCCTTTTAGGGAGGGAAATTTTCAATCTTCTCATTAGAAATTGACAGATTCCAAGGAGAATGGTCATTGGTAGCTAAGACAATCTTGTTCTGTCTGATATGTGTGCCAGTGGATGACGTCACTTGTTGACTAATCAACAGGATGAACATTATCTCCAAATTGAGTAACAATTCAGGAGCTTTCTATTTTCATATGGAGACAGCGTATCTATTTCTGCTGTAGTATTATCGACAGTGTAAATATTATGTTTAAAAAAAAAAATATTATTTACAAATTTATTGGAAGTAATCTATCTTACCATTGAAAAGAAAAAATAACATCCACTGGGGTGTAATCATTTTTGACATTTAAACATATAGACAATACTAATTGTATTTAATACCAATTATTTTGTTTATTTTCAGATTTGATCAGCACAAAAGAACAATAAAGGCAGAAAAAGATTAGATATGCACAGATAACTTTTCACTTTTGTAAAAAAAAAATATTTAATTAAAGAGTAACTAGATTAAAAGGAAATTGATCATTTGTAAAATAAACATGATTTTATAATGGACATAAAGGACTTTTTGTCACGATTTTAAAGGGTCGCCTTTTTTTTGAAGATACATGATATCATATTTATTCTTTGATAAGGAAAACAATGTTAATAGAATGATATAATTGTGTCCCACGAGAACAATAGGGTTGTCAATAGCTATAATATTGTTTAAATATTCGGCTTTCGTTGTTTACATGCATGATAGCTTACTTTTATTTGAATATTTCAGACATCTGTATCAGTTGCAAATTTCTCTCCAGATAGCTACAATAACTGACGACTTCAAAAGAATTTCAGGAAAAAAACAGAAGCCTCTTCTGTTTTTTTCCTGAAATTCTTTTGAAGTCGTCAGTTATTGTCCAGAATCTTATTTAAAATAAATCAATTAATGTTCAATTATGCAAATAAAATTGTTCATGTCAACAAGACAACAATATAAAATGTTGATTGAAGTATTTGCAACAATTTTCGAAAGACAACTATATGATTATAATTTACAAAGGAATGAAATATTAGAGATGAACCATCGGATTCAACATAAATCAAGAAACAAACATATTGCCTGTACCAAAGGTAATTGTTTAGGCATATTTTAAGGATGTACAATTATATCTAATCAGTAAATATTAGCGGAATGGCAAACATTGGGAAGAATTTCAAATTGTAAATTTGCATTTATAAATTCATCCTAGTATTTGTGAATTTCTGTTATTTTTCGTATTTGTACAAGGTACCCCATGTATACTATATATGGTATGTACGACCCTAAACAAACAAATAAGGATAACTTACCACAGAAGAAAACAGCTATAATCATCGATGGAAACATCTGTGACAGACATATAATTCAGTCCTTGTTATTTATCTGTTATTTGGTTAAAGTTTTACACTTATTTATTAATCTTATTTTCCATCGAATGTTTTGAAAAAAGATATTATAATTGTCCTTTCACAAAAGAATTTTACATTGCTTATAATTTGAAATTTAAATTACTTTTAAGATCTGTTGAAATTACGATTATTTTTTAGATTAGTTGAGCTCAATAGGTGCTTTTTGTTTTTGTTGTCTTTTGTGTGTGTATGGCTGCATGTTTTCTGTATATTTTCTGTTGTTTTTCTTTTTATGCGTTTATTTTATTTGGGGAGGGTATTATTTTTCTATATCATTGAAATTGTTTCCTCTGTAAATTTCAATTTTCTACATGAATAACAGGTTATGTTTGGTATACAAACAAACAACACAAAACGACAGACGACATCTAGAGGTCAATAAAGGTCTTCTTCAATATGTCAACCTCTAACCGCCCTTATTTCAGAAAAGTTGGACATGATTTTAATATAACAAAGATCTTCGATGAACACAAATGTACTGTGTGAACACTATGTCCATCTATCAGCAAAATACAAATAATACAAATAATAAAGAAAAAATATTTTCAAAATTTGGTTTTAAATATCATTTCTCAATCATAAAAAAGCGTTTGCAAGTTTCATAAAATCCTTTGAAAGATTAGCGAAGTAATTGGTGTCCCCAGTCTGTATCTTATTATCAACTGTAAAATACGGGAAAATAAAAAAATAAAAAATTTTGTTCTGGATACTGACACTGAGTGTTTTTTTTAAAGCGTCGGTCGAATAAAATTTCATGAAGGTTTACGAAGTTATTGACTTTATCCTTAGACATATCTTAAACAATAAGTTTATTTATCAAATATTTGTCAACCCTTCATATTTGATGTCTAAAAATATTTAATTCACAAACTAAAAACAAATATTGACGCCATCGACGCCAACGACGACGAAATGTGGGATCGCTATGCCTCGCTTCCGGCTCAAAAAGTCTCAGGGTCAACAAAAACGAATGGATACGAATTCTGCAGAAAGAAATGCAATAGTTTAACAACAAAGGAATAACTGTAACATTTATCAATATGCAAAACCAGTCATGTAATGATACCGTATATCTATTCGGCACACGAATTCAACTTGAATGTTCCAAATCCCTTCCTGAGCGACTGAAAAAAATATTCTACTAGTAACAAGCCCGGGTGATAACTGATGTCATAATAGATAGTTAACTCTTCAGACAATTCATGTAAAAAGACTAAGAGTCTGTTTACCTCAATATTCTCATATACTGTATCACTAGCCTGTCAACTTGAAAACTGAGGTTGTGAGTTCGAACCCCACACGTGGCAGGTGTGTTCGACTCCGATCTTTATTCACTAGGATAAGGGAACGACCATTTAACTTTAAGGAAGGGTTATGGTTTTTTCTAAAAAAATATTCTGATCCCCAATTTGATGAAAAATAGCGTCGAAAAACTAAAAAAAAATGTTCGCAGATTCAGACAAAAAACCATACCTGACAATTTCAGTCATCTTGGCGTATTTGTAGATCTTGTCTTGGTGTTTATTTTTGCTTTTTTTTTAGCTTCTATCTATCTGTTATAGTTTTTGAAGATAATAGGCAAAACATGGTAAAATCATCATTTAAGGGCTATCTTTTATAGCTTAAAAGAAAAGTGAAAAAAAATGATAAAATTCGTTATTTAAGGGCAATCACCCCTATAAGAAGTCGTCTGACAGTTTTGATCTCACTGAACAGAAGGTAAATCTCAACATTCTGGACATTTCTGCTTCAGTCAGATTTTTTCTATCTATAGCGGTTTTCAGGATAAACATGTTCTGTTTTAAGTCATGTTGCTTAGCAAGCGGTGCCGTCAGACACAGCTAGATACCCCAAGGTTGATTGCAATTGACGCAGTAGTTTCAGATGAGAAGATTTTTGTAAAAGTTAACAGACGGAGGTTGACGACGGCCGACGGATGCCAAATGATGAGAATAGCTCACTTGGTCCTTTGGCTGAAAATATTATTCTTTTTAAACTTTTTTATTACTATCTGTTAAACTATGTTATCAGTTGAAAAATATTGCAAAAAAATAGAATCTTCTTCTCATTACTCATCGCAAAAATACTTAGATGCTTGACGTAATGTTACATTGATATTCTAAAATGTCAGTCTTCGCTTTATATATGTAAAAAAATTTATTAGAAAGCTCTTTATCATACATAATTCCTCACTGTCCTTACCATGGAACAAATTCCAAAAATCTACTAAAATAAATTTGTAACAACTAAATTTTCGAGGAAACTGGTCCGTTATGGCATGTTATTGGTTGCAAAAATTTGATATTTTTCATTTCAATGCAATATCTTTTATTTAATTGATATATTTCTTCATTTAAATGCAATATTTTTTTATTTGAATGGTATATTTTTTCATTTAAATGGTATATTTTTTCATTTAAATGCAATATTTTTTATTCAAATGGTATAATTTGTAATTCAAATGCAATATTTTTTATTCAATTGGTATAACTTGTCATTTTAATGCAATATTTTTTATTCAATTGGTATAGTAGTTTTTTTATTTATATGCAATAATTGCATTGTGGGAAATTCTTTGACGTCATAAGGTCAAATTTGCAACAACGTTTGTGATTGGTCGGTAATTGTTTGGATTTCTCCCCTTTCTTTCTAAACATAAGTGACCAAGAATTAAAAAACGCGTCAGAATATCGCCCCTCAAACTTAATCTGGCGTTCGTGCGAGTCCTGCACTGGCTGTTAAAATCTTCTGGTCCTTACTATTATTTCTATTGCAAAATTTCGATGGTCAAAACGTTCGGACCACAACTTTTCAAAAACTTTCATTGTATATGGATCTATATGCAAGTATATCGTTTTTTTTTTAAATAGATTAGGCGGCACCGTTGGTTTTCCCGTTTGAATGGTTTTACACTAGTCATTTTTGGGGGGCCCTTTATAGCTTGCTGTTCGGTGTGAGCCAAGGCTCCGTGTTGAAAACCGTACTTTGACCTATAATGGTTTACAAATTATGACTTGGATGGAGAGTTGTCTCATTGGCACTCATACCACATCTTCTTATATCTATATACAACGTAAACCAGACGTTTCTCAGACTGTTTTCTTTTTTAATAAATCCTTTGCCGCGTGTTGTGTACTGATTGATACTTCAGTCTGGGAGAACAAGATTTATTTCAGTACTAGTTGTTATTAGCTTTGAGCAAACTTCCACTGAGTAATTGAAAATACTCTAATGTCGATGCTTTGTGTCTATTGTCTTAATGTTAGTTTTTTTTTGTGTGTGTCTCGTACCGATCTTTTGACTAATTGCAACTGATTAGTGCAGGTTGTTCTTTTATTGTACTGTTACACCACTGTCCCAGCTTCGGGATGGGTTGAGTGCTCACAAACATGTTGTTGTACTGTTACACCACTGTCCCATGTTAGGGGGAGGATTGGGATCCCGCTAACATGTTTAACCCTGCCACATTCTGTATGTATGTGCTTGACCCAAGTCAGGAGCCTGTAATTCAGTAGTTGCCGTTTGTTGCTATGTTATACATATTTGTGTTTCGTTCATTTTTTGTACATTAATTCGGCCGTTAGTTTTCTCGTTTGAATTGTTTTACATTTGTGATTTCGGGGCCTTTTATAGCTGACTATGCGGTGTAGGCTTTGCTTATTGTCGAAGGCCGTACGGTGACTTATAGCTGTTGTTTTCTGTGTAATATGGTCTCTTGTGGAGAGTTGTCTCATTTGCAATCATACCACATCTTCGTTTTTATATCAACCCTACCATATTCTTTATTTGCCTGTCCCAGGTCAGGAGCCTGTAATTTAGTGGTTGTCGTTGGTTCATGTCTCGACTCATATTTGATATTTTGTAAATTGTTTTGTTATGTATAATTAGGCCATTAGTTTTTTCGTTTGAATTGTTTACACTTTTCATATCGGGCCTTTTATAGACGACTTTACAGTATCAGGTTTTTGTCATTGTTGAAGGCCTTACGATTGTCTATAATTGCTTATATCCACTTCATATTTGAACTCCGGTGGATAGTTGCCTTATTAGCAATCATATCCCATCCCATCTCTTCATTTTTATATTATATACCTGACTTCTAAATTCGTGTTTTCCTGAACAAGCATGAAATATTTGTCACTGGGCGTTAAAAATTAGCAACAAACAATCAATCAATTTAAAATTGTGTTAAATAAGTGGAAAACCATTTGATATTTATCTATTTGTTGGGGTGGGGGACAGAAGGATTTCATGTATGAATATGGTTGCCTGGTAAGAGCTGAAAAATAGGCATGATAAGCGACAGATTAAAATGAATAATAATACCCTCTCTTCCTTTCCCCATCCTTCATCTATAAATTTAAACTGACCACCACGGAATAGCCCAATAGTGTTCAAAGTAGCGTTAAACACCAATCAATCAAAATCCCTTCCCTAGAATATCAAATAATCGTCCCTTAACTGTTATTGTCCGACGATGTTGTTCTTATATTTATCCAGCTTATCGTCCTACAGGGATGTCCTACTAAGGCTGTCATACCATAAAAACGTGTAAAACACAGCTCACATTCTAATATATCTGCATTCATAAATTTATTAGTCATTTAGACTAAACGACGCCATATGTTTGTTATGTGCCTCTGCCGTCTAAACAACCTATCAAAAAAGAATAGGTGGAAGAGAGCCAGAAGATCTTCCCAATGCAAAAAAAAAACAGAAATGGACTTCTTCTGGCTCACTACCGAAGGACAAAAAACGCGCCCCATTAATATGTTTTAAAAACGCCTTGTCCCTACCCTTTTTTCCCAAAAATTGGCATTGTTAAATATATATACATATATATAATCATCATTACAATGCTATTGTATTTTTATAAGACCTACTTTATTACATGATCTGGGACTAATGACATCTATCTATAAGTCCAAGCATACAGTAAATTATTATAATATGAATATGTTTCTTGTTTTCATAACCACATATGATGCTATGCATGAGTCACCATTTATCAGGACAGGAATTGGGTTTACATAGAGAGAATAATGTGCAAAAAATAGATAA